TTCACCCGATAATTGTTGTTTCACCTTTGATTGTTGAGAATCATTTATCAACTAAATTGAGATTGTTCGCATCATTTCATGGCCTAGATGACTTTATTGAATATCTCTTCCGACAATCACCAACTTTAGGAACAAGGAGTGACACCGACTCACATGGCGTACCTGTTTGAACTCCGATCACGCGCTACTATGGGCTCGTGTATATTTATACCTTACTGATCACAGAAAATAGACGATGGTAAAGTCTGCCTATCGTCAATTAGAAGATGAGAATGTCATGTCCGAATCAAGGGGAGAGGTAGCTAAGCCTTTATCTGAATGTTGCAGCAATGCTCATCCTTAGAAAACGTGGCGTGATATTAAGTCTGCTGGCGAAACAGCGGTAAAGACGGTTATTAACCTACACCCGAAGGCTAGCAAACGTTATAAGATTTCTGCCTCATCATCCGAACTGGTTGATGCTAGAAGACTGATTCAGCTAGCTCTGACTGTGATGAAGACCGTAAGCACATTAGAAGTGAATTGACCAAGAGTCTTTGCAATGACCATTAGGAGTGCTGGGTGGTGAAAGCAAGAGAGATGGAGAAGGCATTAGCGTTAAGTAACATTCGGCAAGGAAGAGACGATGGTTAGTGAAAGCATCACCGAAACGATGGGACGCTGATAACCTCTTTTGGAACAGGCGGCTAGAACGTTGGATAGAACAGTTTTAAGCACAGTTCAGCTGACTCTCAACAACGCTTCAGTTGCCCAACATTCAACGTGGACATGAATTTAATGTATATTCCACTCCACTAACCCTCCTTGAAGTTGAGAAAGTTGTTTTAAACATGCAGAGATGCTAGCCTGCAGGACCTGACAGCTTGCCAACTGAAGTTTTAAGGGATGGAGGTAGGATATCGCGAATTAAAGTGACCGAGGTATTAGGTAGCATATAGTGTCGTCAGACTGGTCTACTTCTCTGATCATCCCAGGCTATAGGGAGACAGATCAATCCTCTAGTGACAACCATAGGGGAAATAGTTTGACTAATATTGTGTCCAAGATCCTAGAGTCCATAGTTATCCGACGCCTAACTGGAGCTCAAGAAAACTAGGAAGGTTTCAGGTAGAGCTAGATGAGGGTGAATCGATCATATTTTCACCCTCTGACAGGTTCTGGAACACATGCATATCTACTGGCCAATGGTCTACACATGCCATATTTGTTGACCTGAATATGGTATTTGACCCAGTCGACTGTGAGGTGTTGTGACAATGTCTGACTGTGAAGGGAGTATCCCGCGAGTACATAATGCCTATCAAAACTCTCTATTCGAACTCACGCAGGTGTGTCAGAGCTTATGGACAGTTGTCATATGAGTTGGCGATAACTAATGGTGGTTCGCCAATGGATACCCACTGTTACTGTTGCTTTGTCGTAGACCCATCAATGGATATTACGTTAGGTATCTGTGACTTTATAGGGATTGGCCTACCCTCTGGAGGTCATCTGGTTGTCTTATAGTATGTACACGACATTTTCCTACTAAGTGAAGGCACTGGCAAAATGAAGGGTCTTCTAAACACGTTGAGCAGAAATCTGAGTATGTTTGGCATGCGTTTTGCACCTGTCAAGTGTTAGATGATGTTTCAGGAGTGATCTTTAACCGCTGCCGGTTTAATGATAAGGAGTGAGGTGGTAGAATATTTCAACCATTTCACTTACTTGGGGAGCTGCGTCAACTCGAATGTGCTGGTTGTTGACAAAATCTCAGCTTGGATACAGAAGGTCCGTTTGGCATTTGCCAGCTTGGATGATCTGTGGTGCCAAATGGCGAGATATCCAATTATTTATCAAACAACAAATATACTGTGCTGCAGCCTGTTCAGCCCTGTTATACGGATGTGAAATATAGCCACTGAAAGTAGTAGACATGAAACGATTACAGGGTTTTGATGACAGGTGTCTTCGTAACATTGGTGGCGTTTGGTGAGATTACCGTTTGAGCAATGTTGAGGTCAGGCGAAAGGTACTTGGTAAGATAAGCAAGTCGACTGATAAGGTCATGAACCTTCATCGGTTGAGACGGCTTTGACATGGACTGCGCACTCCGAACTACTACCTTCCTCAACATGCCATACTAGGGGAAGTTGGACTAGGTTGACAGAGGGTTCAGCGTGACTCGACCAAAAAGTGGAACCAGCCGATGAAGTATCTTACCGTTGATTTGAACCGTGTGCAGAGATGAAGACTGTTTGGTTGGGGTCCAGGAGACGAAAGGAATCAGTGGTTGAGGACACTTGGTGATAAGACTGAAAATCGATTGCAGTGGTGCAGATGTATTCACTCCTTGACATCTTCTAAAGCTTGGATACTTGGACTAACCATTTTCTTCAAACTGTTTATTCTCTCACACTACTTGATCTACTTTGATATCACTCCTTTTCTTTCCACCTGTTCTTTGTATACTACTGTGAAGTATGATGACTTGAACCGATGCACCTGTGTGCGAGGTTCTACACTGATTTTGTCTGACTATCTTTTCGTAGTTTATTGTGCTTTCTTGGAATATTTATGAGTATGAATGCACTACTTGTGCAGATAAAATAAGAACTGCTACGAATGAGGTTACGAATATTTCATTTTGTGTTTAGTTCAGTTTATGGCCGACGAGCAGGGTAATACATAGGGAAGTACTTTTATATGAAGACAGTGAGGAGCATAGAAGTCGATAAGAGCAGTAACACCAAAGACGATTTAAGCAGCTACTGGCTTTTTTATTTCGTGAAAAAACTCCTTGACTAACACAAATAAATCAACCCAAATGGTTGTTAAGGTGGCCTTTGGAGTCATTCCAAGTGACAGAAGTTGGAAATGTCGACAACTGAGTTCCAACCCAGTGGCCATGGAACCTGGGTGCGCACTTCTGGGAAGTCTCATACTAGGACAAAGCAGCTGTCCAATGCCCCCAGGTTTCCGTCGTTCTTCCAACTGGTGTCGGTCTACAATGAGTACCAACTTGAAGTATCTCTAAATCCCCACAAACCCCCCAAATTCATTCCAATAAAGTTATGCTTGCAGTTATCAGTATCTGCCACATAAAACAATCCTAGCAGTTCATCGTCATCATGAATACTTTCTGACTGTCTCACTAGTGAATTTCATTATTCATCATTGAGAATATCTGAGATAGCCACTGTTTAGTTAAACTGGTATTATTGAAGCGGTGTGATAACTAAAGGTGAAATAAAAGCCATTTTCACCATAGGGTTCAAACTAGTCGCTTCCAGATTACCAGCCCGGTGCCCTAACAACTAAAGTGAGACTAAGAGCTGGTAAGCAGTTGGGTCTTGTAACTCAGTTGGTAGAGAACTTGACCGATAACCCCGAGGCCACTGGTTCGAATCCTACCACGAATCAAGTTTTCATTTAATCTTAAGTAATCACCCCGTACCAACGCTTATTAAAATGAATGACTTTGAGTTACTGAGGATGTCATTTCTCTGAATTGTCATGGTTATTTAAATTATTTACTTCATTAAAGCTGTCTTTTATATAGCTTTTATTGTAGCTGTTCTGAAATCTAAAAACTTCATATTAGCACAAATCGAAGACGGAATTTTAAACGTGATACTGGTAGGGACCGCTGTTGATGTATACTGCATCCTCGCAATTCAGTATTTCAGTATAATATTGCGAAAAATTACCTACTGTTGGTGTTGTTTGACACTTGCAGTCTGCCGTCACTATATTGGGTGCAATCACTCAAACTCTGTTGGCAGATGGGCTCCTATGTGCATTCCTCTATTCTGCTCAAGTATTCACTATGATGTGGTCCGCTTGGGAGATAACGCTTTGGCGTTTGAAGTGATAGGTACTGGGTTTGAGAGCAACATCACTCACTGGGGTGCAGGTACATCCAGCTAACAAGTTCTAAATAGGATGAAATGTGTGTCCTGGATTCCACTGCCAGAAACCAAGTAGACTATCTATTGTTGGAATGAAAACTAGGTTATACATATATACTTTTTTTCTAACTTCATATGATATTCTGATATTGCACCATGTGCTAAAACCGAAGCTGTATCACTCAGCTAGATTCATAATAACAGTTATTCTTTTATTCGTAATTCAGAGCGTTAGTTTAAAGCAAGCAATCATCTATGAATGAAAAAAAATTCAATATTCTCCTTAACTCAGTTCCTAGCGTCTTCCCTCTTCTACTCAGATTTGGTTTGACTAGATCGGCTGTCGATAGTGTGAACGTTTATAAAATTTTTCCCACTTCTGAAGTATATTTTTGAATTCGGATGGCCCTTCGATTCATCTTATGTTTCAATTATCAGACTATGTTAGCAAACTGATTTTTCAGTGTTAAAACTGAGTAATTAGCCTTCATATGATCATGAGTAGCTGTCAGTTTACCTTTAGGTATGGACAAGTCATACTGAGCACAGTTCTGCTGAGGTGCGAAGAAAATCCGGTGATGAATAAGGTCTACAATGATATCTTTAAAGATTGAGAAAATCTGTTGTTAGAATAAGTGACTGAAATGGGAAAAAGTTGCCTATCGATATAAGATACTGGATGATAAGTTTTGAAAAAAATTTCATAACATGTCTGAAACAGAAATGTCAAGTAGTGTTCAAAATCTTGTTCCACTGAGAATAGTAATATGTATCATCTATTCATTTCGGAACATTTAATAAATCCAATCTTACAACTATAGGAAAGATATTATCTCAAATGGTAGTAATTAGTACTGTGATGAATATGATGTTGCTATCAATAATAATAGCCTTAAAAAACAAAATTTGATTAGTAGTTTTAAATATAGACCTAGATAACGAAATTACTTTTATGCAGGGAATCGTTAAATATTACTGAAATGAAACTCAGTAGTAAAAAGAATTACAAAATAACATGATTCATAATTTTTGAAGGTTACTGTCTGATCATTAGTTGATGGGCTCGTATGGAAGGTAAACAAATATTTTTTACACTCATTCTCAACGATATTAAACTTGTAATAATAAGGCAACACCACCCATAATCCAGCGAGATGGTTTCTCTTTAGTTTTCATATTAAATGTCCATACGTAAGTGGGTCCACGCTGTTTCGTTTTGTACACGGGGCAAGCATAAGTATTGCGCAGATCTTGTCTATCTACTGGAATTGCTTTTAAAAAGATAACTGGGAGACTTGGTGCTAACTCTTTCAGTCTAGCTTCAGCAATCATGTTAGTTTGTATATCCCACCTTGCACCTTCTATAAAGAGACCATAAATATAAGCACCTTCTCTTGGTGGTGAACTCATTTCATCCTTTGTCTTTTTGGTCACATCACACTGAAGTACCATACGGTCTAATGGCCATTCATTTTTCCTTGCTGTCTGTTGCATGATAGCTGTTAAAAATGATTGTGGGTTGAATAAACCACCCAACCAAACAGTATTAGGTAGAGCAAAGTCATTTGTCCAAGCTTCTAATTCTTTTACCCTAGATAACATATCAGCATACCAGATACCTAGTGGATACATACTTGGATAGGCACGTCTCTCCCATTGCACTGGTACATTATCTATAATAAGTGAATTAGATAATTCTTCCATTTCCGGGGTTGTAGTCAATTCACCTTTTAGACCAAGTGTTAATTCTTTCAGCGATCGACGCATTTCTTTAATCAATATATTCATGCGTTCGCATTCTTGAAAAGCAACCACCACATATGGTGTGCGTTCTTCTGGTGGAACTTTCCCTTGCAATTCTGACATGTTAAAGTCTTCTGGTAGTTTATCAATAATTTCATCTAGTACACTTTGTAATTTTTCTTCTCTACTTATCCCAGTACCACTACCAGCACCAGCATCACGAGGCTGCATTTCAAATACTGTACGAAATAGTTTTTCAGATATATTTGTTAAAAATTCCATTTCAGCATTCGGATGTAATCCATAGAGGTATGGCGATTCAGATGGTAAGCATTCATCAATATATTGATGATAACCTTTATAATCAGTATTTTGAGGTGTTCTAAAGTTCGGTGCTAAGTAATGATCTCCGTCTAACATTTCTGGTACTAAATATTCTTCTAAATATGTTTTGCACAAACGACGATCCCAGTCATCTGTAATATGTCCACCGTACATTATATCACCGAATAAATATCTCAAATCTTCCCATGGTACTTTACTATTCGCTTCTAGATAGTTATATAATACACTAACACTGATGGTCAGATCACCTGTATTAAATGGATAAATACGATTCCAACCTTGTGGACCAAATTTACGTCTTTCACAGATAACGGCATGAAAGTAGCATAAGCCAAATAGGATCGTTTTGAATTCATTCTCACGACTGCACATTTCAAGTGTATCTTGATTGAAGTTATTCAAGGCTTTGTGCAGATTAGCAAACATGCCAGTGGGTGGTTCATTTGTTATCTTAATTGCATTTTCTAATATACCCTGTGGTATAATATGATATTCTGGATCGGCCGCTGGTTCAGCACTGATAAATAATCTGTAATTTTCATGTCCAATCTCAGCTGACTCTTCCATTAATTTCTCTAGTGTTGGTAACCATTTAGCAACGAGATGAACATTTTGTAGTACAACCCAATGTCCTTCCCTCGAAGCCAACTCCATTGCTTTTGCTGCAACTATTTCTTGACCTTGACCTAGAGAGACATTATGGAAATTTTGACTGTCCCCAGTAAAACCAAGTTTACGGCCGAGTGCTTCTACTTCTTTTAATGGATCCACACCAGGTGATAGGATAAAGAAGATTGGTATAGATGGACCAGATTCTTCAAATGACTTAACAAACGATAAACCTCCACCTTCGATATACTTTTGACCCAACTTTTGTCCAACGAATTCCGTAATCGCATAACTCATACGATCTGGTCGTAATGCACGTAGTATGCATAATATTTGTAATGGTGTTTTGTTCTTCCATTCTTGTGGTAGTTTTTCTTTTTCTGGTGTCTCACCTTCTACTAATTTTTTCCAGCGTTTTGCTGAACCTTCAATATCTTTATCCAAATTACGAAAAGCCTCCATATTCGATAAAGCTTTAATACCACCCCAGCCGTTATTTGTAATGAAATCAACTGGTGACGTTGAATTTGGTATAATAGGGAACCTTAGCAAAAGTCTAATTCAACTGGATTTATCTCATTTGAAATTGTTAGTATTTGAAATACCATTTGCGCAGTAATATTAATTTGTCTTTTTTCAAACAAACCTCTTGATGTATACATATAAACAGAAAAAGTGATCGAATCCAGTAAGTTATTAACGCGTAAATGTATATCCTCAGCTGATTCTGCTCGATCCATGGCTACTTCAAATACGCTGCGGAATGCTTTCAATGAGAACTGATACATTGGATTGATTTTATTTAAATCATTCAGAATGAAATATAATAACGATGCACGACACGCTGCCGGACGATATAATTCACGAGCTTCATTTATTTGTACTTCAGTAATTTTAGCTTGTGCAACTTTTTCAACAATCTCAATAGCTGTGCGTTTATTTGTTTCTAAATTCTCAACTAATGCATAATCACCAAGGAAATTTCCTTCTGCAGCTGACAATCTTGCCAATAAGCTGTCTTCCAGTTGTTTCAATGTAATTTTAAATTCATTTTGTTGCCTTGTTAGATCAGCTTTCAGTTGTTCTAAATCCGGCCGTTCTTTGTTTACAACACTAGCTAACAACTGATCTTCTAAACCATCACGTGTCACAGTGAAGTTAATTAGTGTAGTTTGGGCTTGCATTTCTGGTTTGTAGTGGGGATTGGCTAATTTCGTTTGTAGGATTAACCGAAAATCTGGACTATATTCGACCTCTTTATCACCAAGACGTATAGCTCTTCCTTTTTTGATAGTTTTCCTACCGAGTAAGGGATCGAGTACCGGGTCAACAGTTTCTTCAATGTTTTCTAGTAATACTGTTTCACCAGCTGAGATAGCACGTTCTATATGATCCAAGTAACCTTTCTGACCTAAACGTATTACCTTCAAGTCGGTGCCAAACCGTGTTTTAATCCACTTAAGACCTTGCAGTTGTGGATCAATCATAAGTGGCCAACGTTCAGCATTTGTAAGTATAGTGGCATTCTCTATAGACATCCTATCTGATGGCAAACCTTCGTTGTTCCACGTAGCTATCACGGCATCATCGATTAACATGTCTAGTGGGTCCAAATCAGGTGTAATTGGTATTGAGGGACTAACTGATTTTAAAAATGGTGTCCAGTGTTGGTCTAACAGTTCTGTACGATAACGTTTTGTAAAACAACCAACATAGGACAGAAATGCGGCAGTTAGCAACACATCACCAGGTAGTGTGATAGCTTGTTCTTTAAATTGCTTCACTTGTTGTGCCCAACGTACATTTTCTGAAGCTAAACCTCCCACCAGTCGATTGGCTAATTCAATTGTCTTGTAGGTTAATTCCGCTTCATCTTGACATCTTTGTTTCTCCATTGTTGCTGTTTCGAATTCGTCTGTTAGCTTTTTCAATTTTTCTTCTAAGTCCTTAATCTTTTTCTGGATAGTTTCTAATTTTTCAGTTGCTTGACGTAGTTCTTCATTAGCTGAGTCTAATGCATCACGTTTTGGTTTAACTTCACAGTAGATGTTATAAAATTGTACTATATTTATTGCCCACGAGCAAAGGCCAGCAGCTGCTGTCGATTTATTGCGGATAAACTCTGGGTCGAATTCTGGATCTCTTAGATACTCTTGAATTGCTTTCAAACAATTTTCATGAATATTTTCTTTATCATAGTTAATTAAATTATCTAAAAACAAGTCAACTTTACTCATGATTCCTGCTTTAGCTGCTTTCCAACTACGATCTTTAGGCACTTTACCATCTGGTGCCATTAATACCATAACAGCAGCTGTTACATTAATGACAGCTGCTGGTGGTGAACCGAATGATTTCATTTCGGTTAGATTATTCTTATTCAGTGTATTCAACGCCTCTTGCGCTGCCATTAAGGCTGGTTCTGCTTTAGCCAAATCAATTTCGCAATCTTTTTGCTTTTTCAACACTTCAGTTTTGATTTTTGCAACTTTCTCTTCTTCCTGATTTGCGAATAATTTTTCTTCTTTGACCTTTTCTGTTTCGGCGCCTACAATAGCTAACAGTTTGTTAGCATCTTCATTTTTCTGTGCTAATTCGGTTTCTTGTGCAGCCAGTTTCGCTTTCAAATCATCAACTTGTTGAGCTGTACTTTCTAATTTCTGTAGACCGTTTTCTAAGCGTGTCATTTTACCAACCAAATCGGTATGCTTCTGATTTAGCATATTTTCATATAACTGTATTTGTTCCAAAAATGATTTGGGCGTTGTATAGTTATAACGACGTTCATTTTGCAAATATGTAACACTAATCTCATTGACTGACTGATGTGCGTATGACATAAACTCAGCAACAGATGGTCGTATATTTTCAGGTAATAATTCAATGCCACTTAAGAAGCGTTTGGATACAGAGAGTAAAGCTTCCTTCGGCCATTCGTGAAACCAATCAATTGATGTACAATTGACAATTGCTGGGAATTTTCTAGCTCTAACACGTAATGTTGAACCAACTGGTGAGAAGCATAAAACAACTTTGAGTAAACGACGTACTTTATCATAAAATAACTCCAACAGTTTTCACGCGTATCCTGTATGCCTTGAGATTTCACCTCGCCTCTCATTGCGTTTATAACATTTTTCAATTTCATCGTCTGGTAAAAGTTCCGGTATATCACCAGATGCAAGTAAGTCATTAATAAGCACCAAAATTTCTCTTCAGCTATTTGGCTATCAGTCAACAGGAACACTGTGCCAGTATTTTTTAAGCCAGCCTTTAAGTAAAGACTAGCTAAGTCAGCTTTAAGATCTGTCATTGCGTAACCCTTGCGCAATGTTATCTGAAATACTTCTAGTGAACTAATAAATGCAGCTAATCTTGATAAAGATTGTTTCCCTGAACCACCGACACCAATTAGTAATGCATTGCCACGTGGTGCTTCCAAGATTCGATTAATTCTTAGTATGTGTGAAATAGCATCACCGAATAGGACTAAATTCATTACAGCATTCAACTCATTATAGTTATCCAAGGCTTCATTAAGTAATTTACTTAATTCATTCATATTTACTATTGGTAAGTACTTTGGTTCACCAATTCCTTGGGTAAAATGACAATACATGTTTGGTTTGGCAAATAATACATTTTCATCCATATCTTCAAAGCATTTCTTCGTAATATCCGCCAGAATTTTCTCAAATGTTTCAACATCCTCACGTTCAATTAGTTTATCAGAATACACACGTTCACATTCATGCATCCATAAACGTATTAAATCAGTTGGTTGTCGAATACATTCATTTCCAGAAAACAATAAACCCTACATAAAAAAGATAATCAAAGAAGATTTGTAAGAATATCTTTTTTTAAAACAACTGAGAACCTAGAATTAAGTATGTTGTGGATTAGGTGAAAAATTTAATCATAAAACAATATTTACTTGAATGTTGTGGCTTGTATTATCCCGTCATTCAATGAACCGAATTGGTCGTTTTCTATTGGCATATAGGCTCCTGAGCAGATGCCTTGATACTGCCTGTGTTCCAATTATAAATTAGTGATGAAGCCATATGCCAACAGAGACCGAACAATTCGGTGCACTCAACGACGAGATAATGCAGACAACAATATTAAAACTACACCCGTCGCACAAGAAGTGGTTATCGTGGCTCAGTGGCCTAGTGGACAAAGCTCTGGAGTTTGAAGCGACCGGTCCTCAGTTTGAGTCCGAGTGGGAACAACATCATTCACCGAGATGCAGGTACATCCATCTAACGAGTCCCAAATAGGACGAAACGTGCGTCCTGGATTCCACTGCTAGCCACTATCTATCACTAACAAATATTTACTTGAACAGAAATATTGCCTGGGATGAATTTGTCAAACATTTCCATGAAAAGTTGATGACACTTGTGACAAGAAACCTAAGATTCCCACTTGCGACACTGAAATTTCTTTCACCGACGGAAAATCTAGCATAAACGGAGCTTCTGTTAATAACTTATCAGTGAAGAAAAGCAATAATCAAGATGACAAACATGCAGTTAGTTTCTCTGATTTCATTTACTACTTTGTTAGTGAAGATATGCATAAAAAAGTATCCCAGTATATTTGTTGAGTTGAATAGATTAGTTAACCTTAATCGGAAGACTTCTTCATGTAAAAAAGTAAGTGAAATTGTTGACAACAAGACTAAAACCAGTGACCTCAAGATAACCAGTGGAGCTGTTTACCGACTGAGTTATAACACCTAGTAGGTGATTGAGTTTCAAATTCATTTCACTAATTATTTCTGTACATTCAGACTAGTCTATCATTTAAGGCTGTTTGATGTTTGATTACTCATTTTAAATCCAACTTGATTTGGAATGTATTTGAACTCACAAAAGCATTATATATAAGCTTCTTGTTTGCACTGTAAGTGGCTAAGGTAACACTGGGTAACTGATGAGCGGATCTTCAGGTGGCAGTTGGAGGCAGAAAAAGGTACATTTATGAGTACACTTGTAACATACTTTTGTGGGAAAAATGACAGTCAGTATAACTATATCTTTTATTTTCGTACAGCTATCACGTGCGTAGAGGCATTTGAGTAAGGTTATTGATATAAGTTTCTAGATAATTCTTTAACTAGTGCGGCTATATGATGCCATCATATGGATGAACATACTTTGTATTGAATATCACTAAGTCTGGAATTCAGAAAATCACCAAAGTTAGAAATCTGATGGATGCATCACCTAGGTCCGAAACCTTTCTGGCTTTCTTTGGTTACTTGTTTAGGAAGAGTTAGTAGAGGTTAAGTAAAATCAGATCTTAGCGTTGAACAATTATTAGGTTTTTTGATCTTAAATGTCAACATATGTATACTAAGAAATGGATGTTCCAATGAAGTTATACTTTGAACTGAAGTTATTCACAGAAAACCTTTCAGTGCTAAAGTAGTCATAACCTTCTGTACAACCTAAAAAGCAACACTGTTTTATGCATTCCTACACAAATCTTTGAAGCGAAATGAAGATCATGTCAAGTGTTAGCTGAAACTATAGAAAACTAGATATTCATATTTCGGTTAGATTTTTTTTAATTTTTAACTGTCAGTTGTTGACATCGAATGTAAGTGTAAACCAGATTGCCATAAAAAGGTGATTCAAAAATAGATAAGGTGGTATTAATTAACCCAAAACCTTCATTAAACTGTATGAAATTGATTGGTCAGTAGAGTGTTCAGTTAACTTAAGCGTCACACACAAAAGTACTTTGTTATTGCTAAGATGAAAATCGTGGTATTTCCAACAGCTTACATCTGACACATACAGCCCTACTTACGAGTGGTCAGTATTTTGTTAATAAAAGTAAATAACTATATGATACGTACTCCGCACAAACTTACTTGGAAAATGTTGGATAAATCACGTAAATTGAATATATAATGAAATTTGATAGCTGTCGGTAAAAATACAGTAGCCACTTTAGCGTGCAATAATAAAGCACAATCAGTTATATTTGTAGCAAACTTTTGTAAGGCTGAAGAACAGTTGATTAGTGACAGGTGTTGCGTTAATATAGACGAATAAATTGTTTTCAGCGCTTCTTGACCGGGAAAACTTAAACCAAACACACAAAAGTGTCTCTGAAGTAGGTGAAATAAAACAGAGACAAGGAATTGAATATTGGTAATTGTAATACGTAAAATTATTAATTATTTAAAGTAAGCCATTTTAAATTACACACTTAATGTTGCTTTAGTCTCTTATTTTTCTTACGAACAGATGCAAAACAACAAAGAGTGTTGGAGTAGAGTATATCAAAGAATTTCAACGCATCAGCATCTAGCATAATGTTGGTGAGTCAAACTGGATGTTAATACAAAGATGAAAATCTGTGAGTCATGGCCAAACTAGCACCAGTTCTCTATCAGGAGAGACAAAGGATTTAAAGTGAAACCAATCAGTCAGTTCATTCGGTTGGTGAGGTCAAAATGCGCATTTAGAGAATTTAACACAGAGTTTGAACTAGGTTATAATTACTGTTATTTGTTTGTCGGCGATCTTTTCATTTATGGAAAAGCGTTTTAATATTTCATGAAATAATGAAACACAACTGGCTACTTCAATAGGTGGCCTTTAGAGTCATACCTTCTTTCCAATCTAAATACTGTACTGATTAAACCAAGTCTAGTCATTCAGTTAACAATGCCAATTGACAAATCAATTACTGAAACGCTGGTCATCATTACATTTGTAAATATTTCCCGATTTCGAAACCCACAAACTTCTGTTATCTCATTATCTTGAATTGTTGATGGTTCTCTTCACCACACTTCAAATAACATATGTATGAATGGCCGAATTTATGATGGCTGTTTCAACAGGGACCCTAGTAGAAATCAGTATGATCAAAAAGTGCCGTTGTGGGACCAGTATGGTTCATCACGCAGATGACTTCTTACTCGGTCCAGTCGTCTTGGTTGACTTTGGATGTAGATCATACAGACAATACAAAAATTTACCAATTGCGTCAAGACAGGTTGTACAAATCTGATAATGCTCTATACGGTGATACATAATTGTACGTCATAAATGAACTGAATCAGATATAATAGTATGCCTTTTGCAATAATGAAGAATATTTGTAGCCCAGGTAGGTGGTCTTACTTGTTTTGCCTTCTCTGAGATGGATGGTTTAATCGAGTATCTTTTATTATCTTTCTAGACAACAGCATAGGCACTAACTTTACATCTTGTTATATGACGGTTTTCACTCTATGAATCGCAATGGTTGTTCGTATACTTCTGTATGCAAGCTGCACCTTATGCAATTTTCGACTTACTATTATTCGTTTTTAAGAATGAAGTGCTTCAAAGACTTACAATTAATACTTCAATAAATGTGATTACAGTGATGTTCTGGACTGAATTCATTTCAAGTTAGTCAGTTTCCCAGATAAGTGCTATAACTATCTTGATGCAGTGTTATATTTGAATGAGTATTTCCTACAAAAAGAACCCTTTAATGACCACTAGTAACAAAAGTCTGAATTATTCATTTTGCTGATTTACATAAATACAGTCATTTCGTTGCATTACACACAAGCATTTGTGAAATATTTAAAAATTCCATCACTACTTTATTTTGCATCAGTATGAAGGAATGTTTCAGTGACTGTTTGTAGTTTCACGTATTGGGAAATGAGTCACAGCTAATGATAATAATATGTTACTGCTATAGTGTTAGTAGTTGTATCAATGTTAGGATGTACAACACACTTGCTGAAACTTAACTCTCTAGAACAATATGCTAAATCACGATTTCGAATTCCACTTGACCACTGAGATCATAGTACTCATGAAGTATCTTCAACCATCAAACTATGTATGTGGCTCATAACATGCTGCACTACTTGAATGTGGTTGCAGTATCACATCACTGTTACTGCTGAAATACTTTGTTTTGTATATTTTCACCAGATTAATTTTGAATGGAATAAAGTAAACAGATACGGTGTGAGAAAAATTCTCTTTGCGCAATCTATAAAAGGCAAATTAACACTATGAGGACTTGTTTCCTATACGTGCTGCAAAGACGTATGTCAAAAAAGAAACATTACGTACATTAACTTATATTTCTAACAAGAGTTCTGCTCATGATAGTAATGAAACACTAACGAATGTTTAACAAATTTAAGGTATTAAAGTGATAATTTAAGATGTGAATGTGTGGTTTGCGTCTTCTGAGTTAACATTGTTCGGGTTAGATTTTTCAGCGACATTCTAGCAATCGTCATCAGTGAAAATCCAAAATGGATCTCAACTGGTGCTAAAGCTAATGCCTAGAATCCAAAGTTGTCTACACGAAATTCAAGGCATCCAATTCATTTTCCTTGGAATACATAAAATAAATGCGCCTTGTTTTATGAAGCGATATGGTAGTAAAGTTTACTTCTTAACTTTCAAGGACGATAGAGCAGATCTTTAAGGATTAGTTTCTGTGATTTTACGCATGAATTCGGTTGTCATTATACAGCCATTTCAATAGTGATTTTATGAATTACTTTTAAAAGTCAGTCCTACTTACTTGTAGCCGTGGGTCAATTGTGAAACTACCAGATGTTGGATTCATACATGCAACATACTGAGTATTGTTTATTTCTTTTAATGTTAGTTTCGTTCTATCATACCAATGTGAGTGATCAATATGTTGTCTTATTAAACAGTGTGGTTGAACTGTAAAGTAAGTATCAACTTCTGGCATATTCAAATCATCAATGAAATAGATTAGACGTTTATTTCCAGGTGGGCCATAATTTCTACCAGCTTTTTTTTCCAATGGTTTTTCTAATATACGTTGAAGCATTTCACTTGTTGTATAAAAATTAAATGGTACGTTTGTAACCATAACATCTTCATTGAAACTTGAAAATGTATCCTGTACAAGTACAGTCTTTCCAGTACCTGCATTACCGACCAACATAACTGGACGTTTACGTTGCAATAATAGATCTAAGAAATAACGTAAGCGTACTGTTTCTGTTGTAGGTACCAGCATAGCCTGGGAGAAAAAAGGTGAAAGAAATAATAAAAAAGAATATATACTCTTAAGGCAGTATTCATCACGGACTGACATCAGCTGGAGAACCATTGAAAACTCAGGAGCAATGGGTAGCTGTTTCGTCCTAGTATGGGACTCCTCAACAGTACGCACCCACGACCCGGATAGGGATCGGACTCAGGATCTTCTGATTTCATGATGACCACGTTAACCATCCATTGACTGGGTCGGATGTAAAAGTATAGTGCCCATTAGTGACATGCTTCCAGATGGATATTAAGAAGTTCTGTTGGGAAGCAAACCAGCTGGAAGTAAAGTGTATGTCAACTGAAGACTCTGGTTGATAGTTGTGCTATATCGCGAATTGACAGAAGTAGGAAACTGTGGACCATTGAACTCTGACTCAGTAGCTAGATGGTTAACATGGTCGCCGTGAAACCTGAAGGTTCTAAGTTCGGCCCCTAATCGAGTTGTGGGTGCATACTGCTAAGGAGTCCCATAGTAAGACGAAATAGCTGTTCGGTGCTCCAAGGTTCTCCAAATGATGTCAGTACGTGATGAATAATACTGTAAGACTAAAATCCCCACCAACCTCGAAAAAAATATTACTTCTATAGTAAAAAGTAAATAGCGGATGTCAAAGAAACATTTACTAGTATTTATGTCAATAAGGTGATAAAAGAATATTTGTTCTTACTCGTAAGTTGGTGTACCATTTTAGACATGGGATGATGAAACAGTAGCTGCACTTAGTACTAACATGAAATTAGAAATTAAAGTTTATATAAGAAGAACAAGAAAAGTAATTGCAGTCTTGTATGCATACGTAATTGAAAGCTAGAACCAACAACTGAATCAGGCGCTGAAGTAATAGTAGTGATTTACATGGTTCACGCGGTTCATCAATGAGCACAGCAATACACGTATTCATAAGAACATATCGAGAGTCATTTGGTCTATACGAAAATCACCAACAGAAAACTCGGGTGCTGATTTCAGATGTCACGCATAAGCAGGCACAAGATGAGAACTCGTTTGGATATGCAAACATGATTCACTAATTAATTCACTTAGCGGACCTTTGTTGCATAATCATCATGATCATTGTTAAGTCTAGAACTAGATACATCAAGTCCTTACAATTTGTTACTCGGACATATTCACTGAAGGATACTGAATAGACTTATAATCTGCGACATGAGATGTTAAAAATCAAAAGTTATAAAATCTTGGCGAAACAAGAAAAATTGATCAAGTGCATTCATTGTTTTCTTCATTTTCAGAAGCTTGGATATTTTGTTATTCGCAGATAACTTCTTTCACAGTCGCTTTATTGTTTGTAGTTTTTGCATCCTTCTAATCTTGTCGATTCTCTTTGACTTTTTAAAGTATTCCAAGTTCATCTGAGATAATATGGTCGAAAGTCAGTTAAAGAATACAAGCTTGTTTACCAGTTCCTGTTATGTAGTAGCAAAGTTTAGGATACAAAAGTGTTAAAATAGAATAACAGGTCAGCTGCTCAGTTCAGCGACTACTTGAATTCTCAAATATAAAAAAACGATGGCTGTCATTGCTATCCTAATATTTGAGATGACTGCAGCCATGAGATGTATCACCAGTGGGAAAGCAACGTCAGACCCGGCGTTTTCGAACGGGAATCGTATTAAGTAACAAGTCATGCATTACTTTTTCATTGAAAAGTTACTTTCTGCTCAAAAGTTTTTTGCAGATGTCTAAATTTACTTCAAAGGGGTCAAAAATAAGTCAAATATGCCTTCACCGAGGTTCAACAAACAAAAGTATAATAACACTGTGGAACAACGTTGATTAGTAGACTAATTTACATTTGCAAGAAAGAAGAATAAGTCTGAATGAGTTCTCTATTTGCGGTTGGCTAGTACTCAGATCTTATGGTTGAATCTATTGAACAGCAGAAGTTTATTTCAGAGTATGTTGGTTTTGATCCATTTGTTGCAAACGTTTTCCCTATTTGTAGAAAGTGAACTCTACTTATGGATATTTTCAACCGGCACGTCAAATGTCATTCAGTAAGCTCAACCATGTGGTTCTGATGTACAGAATGGTCATCACACACTTAAAATGTAACAATACTGCTAACTTTGGGTTATACAATGGCCTCACTGTATGATTGAGTTTTCAGTGGCAGTAGTGATCAAACAGAAAAAGGTGCATTAAAGGGATGTTTCAGTCATTTAAATAAATTCTGATGACACTCTAAATTGCATTTTATGTAAACCCCTATTATGTTTTCTACGTAATATATAAAATATAAAACGCAAATCGTTTGTGGTCAAGATGTGTTAAAACAGGCTGAGTACCGAATCCACCAGTAGACAAATAATTGTCATTTGAATGACTGTAAGAGGAGTAATCGTCATTATGTTAACGAAACCATGATAAATTCTCATGAAAGTGAGCAATGAAGGATAAATTAATTGTTTCTCACCTGTAACGGGAGCTCAGGATCCAATTCAAAAACTGGTAGCCTCTTTGACCAAGGTTCAAATTTCTTGCTTACAGGATCAATAAAGTAGTCAAATATAACACCATTGGTTGGAAATTTAACAGTTTTGAATTCGGTTACCCACCATTTACTAAATTCAACACGATGATCCACTAATTGATCTCGAAACAGTGAACCACCAAACGCCCATACAGCACAAAATACAAAATATAATTCATATAATTCTTTTGGACAATCAGGTGGCGTAGTTTCTGGTGTTAAGTGACAGTCAAGTAAATAGCACAGCATTTGTACATGAGCAATTTCCGCAATCGGAGTGATTTTCTTAAAGCGTACACGTAGAACATCCAGACATGGTGGCACATATTTATCGAAAAGTATTTGTAAATTAGCTTGCTCTGACTGCAATTCACGAGCAGTTAACCAGCTAGATATAAATGGAGTTGTTCCAAGATCCTATCAGCAAGTCAAATGATAATTATGATATTGATATGAATACAGTTGGACTTTTACTCCAATAATAATTTGATTAGTGAGAAAATTGAATAACATTTAGACTAAACAAATAAATGTGCTGTACGTCTTCAATGCAAAGAATTCCTTTTATAAATGTCCTTTTAAAAAACCCTTTTCAAGCAGTGTATTGTTGTTCTGCTGCCATATTTTCTGTGTATGTATTGAGATCTACAGAGTAACTTCGTGTACTAAACAACAGGTATCCAAATCCTTATATGATAAGATAAGGTTGAGAGTACAACTTCTGTGACTAAAATACCCAGACAGTGTGTAGCAATCAACTTTGACAATTTTTCGTATTTATGACTCTACGATACACTGATTTATTTAACATCTAAACTAACTAACAACAACGATATTTAGTCACATTCTGCCTAGTATTATTTGTTTACTACATTAAGTGGCGCCAATATCACCATTTCGATCTTTGCTATTTTCGTTCACCTTAAAGTAGGTCCATGCATAAGAAGATGAACACTAGTTCAGTAACAAGTGATTCAGCTGAGAACGAGCATTGTAAGTCGCCTTTTGTGGACTTTTTTCTGATCTAGAGTTTATTACATTAAGTTGTTAAATCCAATGCGATTCTCCAGAAAGTTAACATCTTTGATTGATCAGTATATCAGAAAGAAATGTAAAAAACGCTTACAGTTTTCACTGAATAAATTTTATACATTTGCAACCATATTATATCTTTCCTTAAACTTGTGACTCAAAAAACTATGACACTGTGGCATTAGCAAACAAATTTTCATAAGCGGATAGCTCACTTTCTTACCTGGACGTCACCTTCATGTATGATACATATACAGGAATTAATAATCTTATTTTATCACAAAATGTTTGTCTAAAACTGTCAGAATGTGAATGTGATCAGTTAAAATAATACTTGACCATTAGGCGCACTATAAAAACCGTAAGTCAACCTACAATGAAGTGCTGTTTCATAAGAAACTGAATTATTTAAAAGAGAGTTCATGCTGCAATGAACCTTACGCTAAAATGTCTGTTCAGAATAATTTTTGCATTGCTTATTAGAAGAATAAGATTGTACTTAGCTGTGAAAGTATTTTTAGTTTCATAGGTTAGGTTATTATTATGAGTAAGAACAGGCTTATTAAACTTAGTACCTGAGAAATAAACCAATTATGATGTAGTGAGTAATACATGTGTATAATCCAGCCTGAAAAGAGTAGTGGAGTCTCAAACTGACAAAAGTCGACCCGAGATCTAATTTTTAAGGGCAAGTGAACCTTCTCGAAGTTACTGATATCGGTTTCTGATTACTGTTAACATAAAGCCTAGATTCAGAGATTCGTATCAATCCACTTCAAACACTTCAGACTGTCGACCGTAAACTAATGGTTAGAGAAGGGCTAAATAAGGGAGAGTGTCGGCCAGCTGTACCAAGTTCATAACTGTCTCTGAAAATATCAGCAGTGAATAATATTACGAAGATTTAGTAATAATAGTGTAACTATTCTCTAACTCTCATTTTCTGATACTAGACTTTGAGAAGCACGTTCCGTAGGGTTAGTGGGTAGTGACTGTTGAGATTTCAGAGTTGAAATATGACACTGGTTAAAAAGTCAAATGCCTAAGCCAACTGACCAAAGCTCAACAAAAAAAAATAACACCATTAGGTACCTGGTGATTTTTAGTGGTTATTAAGCCTTATTTACTAGAAGTGAAAGAAGTCTTTGAATAAGACAAATGATTAGTTATGAAAAATCAGAACATTAATATATAGTTACTGATAACCTTTCGATTATGCACGTAAAAATTTGATTTCAAACAACATCTAGAAACTTGAAATGGTAAGTCTAACCAAATAAACTTCACTTACTTGCGGGTTGATATAGAGTATCCCTGCTCTTGATACGGTGGCTGGTGTAGCTGTCTTCAAATGACTTATTTCAAATAACAAGCGCATTGTAGGTGTCAATGGAATACGCTCATTACTAGCTAATGTCAGAACTTTGTTATCATCCATAACTGTATTCAATGATTCAATCCACATTGGATCTATATCACCATCAAGTACAATCCATTTAGGTCCATCATGTGTTAAATTAGCTAAATCTCTCATGATAACAGAGAACAGACCATCCTTCCACTCACGTGTAGCTGGATTAATGACACCGAATAATTCATCATTTGTAACAGCTTTAGGATCTAAGTCAATGGCAACTGGTTTTTTTTTCATGTTGAAATTAGTACGGTACAAGGTTTTCCATACCATTGATTTTCCTGTGCCGGCATTGCCTAATACAAATACTGAATGTCGTACAGCAAATAATTCTTGAAGTTGTATGGCTTTGAGCACAAAGTTATCTTCAGCTTGTAGCTTCAAGTCGATTGCTGCCTGCCTCACCTGCTTTTCAAGTTCTAGATCACGTTTCCTGGGTACATCTAACGCTGGGAACAAATCACCAATTAAGCCCATAAAGACAGGTAGATCATCAGTAACAATTTTAGGTATATTAAAATCACGTAGTGCACGCATAAGTACTTGGTCTTCCGGACGTCCTGGGTCACTGCGTTTCAATGCCCCGGCAACAACCAACACAGATTTGATGGCTCTTAAGCCCCAATCATAATGATCTTGTTTAGACAATAATTCTTTGCACAAGTTGTAAAGTGTCAGAAATTTCCTAGCTAATAATCTTGCATCTGTAAAACCTTCGGCCACCAGCATAATTTCACAAATCAATTCAAAATCCGGTACAACCATTGCACATGGACGAAATAGTGCTTTCAAATTTTCAGGTAGTTCGGCACGCCCAGCATAACCAGGATTCATTGTAATAAATATACCAACGGTTGGATCTAAACTAATCTCTTCACCCAGGAAATTGAAACGTTTCTTTTTATCTCTTATCGCATCTTGTATGCACTTGACTTGAACAGCAACAACGGATAATACCTCAACGGATATACGATTAAATTCGTCAAAACAACCCCATGCACCAGACTGGGCTAATCCTTTATATATATTGCCAATTGACTTGTAATCCATTTGTTCAGAACAATTAAATACGTAAACCATAATACCTAATGCACGTCCTAAATCTTTAGTAGTTTCTGTTTTGCCTGTACCGGCTGGTCCTGCTGGTGCACCACTCATTGTTAAATGTAGAGACTGAGTCAATGTGATATAACAGCGATCGGTTAATGGTGTTATGACCAATCTTGGTGTGTTACCTAAATATTCATGAGCATAACGAAATTGTGCATCACAGATATTAACAAAACAATCCTGATGTTTTTCATCCCAGCGGTGTCTTAACTGACTTATCCATGTAAATGACAGTGCACTATCGATTTTCTGTGAAATCAGTTACCAACAACATCACGATTATGTACGTCAATTGTACAAATAGTCATAACTTTCTGACGATCTTGCGAATTCAATTCACCAATTAGTAGAGTAATTAACGCATTTAATTGTTGTATCTGTTTCTTGTTATAGTCTTTTAGAGCATTCTCATAACCTTCTTCCAGTCGAGCAAAATTTATGTTCACTTCAGTTGTCCAACCAATTTGTGAACCAGCTAAAGATACTTGAGCAGGATAATCAAAAGCCACTGATCACGTGCCTTTTCTTCATAGGTTGACACCGCTTCAGATAGATAATGTCTAATAGTAGCACGCATTTCGTCCAATAATTTATTTAGCCATACTTCAACTTGTCCATCCAAATCAACCTCTTAGATAACTTCACTTCTTCTCCGTCTTTAGCACCCATTTGATAAGCAATTTTGGAATTACCTTTGCCATCCGATTTCGAACGAAATTTCAATGTAGCCATTGAGTCGAATAATTTCGTTAAGTGTTTAGTAACCTGTTCTGGGATATTTCCATTCGATAAAATATCCAACAAGTCTGTTGGTGAGACAAAATAAAAGCGTGGGAATGCAAGACGTTTTGTTTCTAAATATTCAGCCAGCGCCTTTTCACACAAAATTAAGTCCTTCTGTATTGATTCCAAGCGTTCATACAGGTTTGGTCGACTTGTGGCCTTGATAACATTACGATCATCGCCGATTTCACTAACTAGCTGACGAAAATCATGATCAATTCTGTCAAATCTTGAAGAATCCTGAGGCAATTGTTTACGTATATCTTCCGAACCAATGAATATTGATTCTAAATACGACCATGTGCGTTGGACTTCGAACCAGATTGTGATCACTTGGTCAGCAGTGGACAACTTCTTCTGCCATGCTGATACATCATCAAGAAAATAGGCAATGTATTTCGATGTCATCATATTTTGTAATTGTACTTGATTTTCTTCAAGAGTTTCAATCAATTCTTCACTTGCTTTTAGTAGAGCTAAGTTAGTGCGTGGGTGAATATCCTGTTCAAAGGTCATTTGAGACCATGTAGTATGTAATTCTTTCAATACTTTCTCCATAGTCATTTCTTTAACGGACTTATCAACTAAATTGCGTACTTCATCTTCAAAATGATGCAAATTTAAAGATAATAAATTCATTAGAGTGGTTTCTTCACTCATTTCAAATCTGACCCCAGTAGCCTTCATCAACTGTATCCAATGTCTGTCACGTATTGCTGGGTTTTGTAATTCACTAACTGCTCTCAATGAGGTCAGCATGTTTTTAACTTTATCTTCTATACCCACGTAAGCATCCCACGCACGCATTTCTTTATCTAAACTACGTAAATCTTTAGCAAATTTTTTGCAGTCCAAATCTAATTGTTCAACATTCACTGCACGCCATGAACTAAGTGTCCAGTCGTGTATACTTGTCTGTATTAAATTGATATAATCCCATAATGTTTTAAGTAATTTCAGTTCTTTGCGACACTGTTTAATTTGTTTAAATTCTGGCACATTGACTTCAAATAAACTGGCTGAAGTAAGGAGATTAGCCATTTCGATTTCTAGTTGTAGTAAACTGTGGTGATTCTATAGTGTTGTAAAATGGATAAAAAGGCAAAGTTAAGCGTAAGTATGTGAAATCTCTCTTTCTCAATAACATAACTTATAAAGATTTTCAAAGTAGGTAGTGAATGATTGCAACTGATTTGTAATTAACTTGACCGGATGCAAATCTAGATTATAGTGAGCAGGTGAATATTAGTGAATAAATTCCCCATCTAGTTAACAATAGCATCTACAGGTTCAAGCCGTAAAGACAAAAAAACCTTCAGTAAAGAAAAATTTCTCTACTAAGGCTTTATTTTAAAAGCCGTGCAATCCCTTATACTAGGGTAAGATAAAGCCATCTCTGTGGAATGTAGTATGGTGTATATGTCATTTCAGTCGCCTAGTGAAAACGATTTTGAGTTTGAGAGAATCCATATCATTCTAGGTGAACTCAGGTGAGAAAGAGAGGGTTGGATAAAACCTTAGTTATGGACATCCTACTAGCTGCAACTTAAAATAACTTCCGTATAACAGCTAGTTACTTTGAGTACATATTTAATTGATATTATGTGCGTTACCTATGAGAACTAGTAAGTGGGACTTAGTGAGACCTCGCTGGGAAAAACAGAGAGAGTTAATAGTCAGTTGAAGTTCTGGAATAGAATATTACAAACAATGGAAGAAAATAAAAAGGGCAAGAGAAGAAGCAGTAGAGACTGAAGGAAAATTCCTCACGACTGTAAAATGCATGAGCCACATTGAACGTAGAGTTTAAATATTGTACCAATACTGACAGAGATTCACTGTGAAAAAGCAGGATACTCATATCCACGCGTGTCAAAAGGTATATCAACTAATTATAACTACTTGGAAAACTGTACTGTAGGTTTCCACCAGGTTAGTAATCCATAAAATGGGTAGGATAAACGAATCAGAAACTCAACAAAAAGGATTAGAGATTCATGATTAAGTATGACATGACACTAATAAATTGCTAAACTGACAGAACACTATTTGTTTTCCAGTTGTTAAGATCACGCAAGTCCATGAAAGCGAATTAGATGAAATGTAATAGAATAGGAATTGTACCTTGAAATAAAGATTTTATGCCCTCAAATGGAAAAAAGACATTAATGATGGTAAAGGTATACCACCTATTTCTTCATCTGCAAATGTCCTTATTAAAGTCATGAAATAATGGCCTACCATATCATTGGTATGATACTAAGAAGGTGTATACTTCTTGATGGTAGTAGGTTAACTTCAATCTGAAACTTAGGTGATCATTGAACATTCAACTACGAAGTCCCATCTTCAGATAAATGGACATTTATCGATCAGTCTTGAGGAGCAGAATGCGAAATTCAGCAAGAGTTGTTTACTGGCTTATAAATGGAGGATATCAGTTAGACAGAACAATTGCTTTTCATGTGATCAATACCATCCTAGTGATAATACATCACAATACAAATAAGACAGACTGCGACAATTAGATCGATAAAGGATGGGTTGTGAATTTTTAAGACCCACGTACATTGGTGACTGTTTGAAAAAGTGGACCGGATATCAGTCTTCGTTTTCATTTTCATTTTTGGCAACTTTTTTATGTCTAACGAGGAATCTTTTTTTACTTAGAAGTTTTTTAACATTAAAAACAGCAGTCTTAATTCGTTAATATAAATCAGTTTATTATCAATCGATTTGTATAACTCCAAACGGAATCGCCAAATATGATCTTTGCAATGTGTCTGGACCACAATATCTGGTTTACTGGGTACCATTAATAACACCACTAGTGAGGGAATGATGTATTCACAACATACTAGTTAAAGGAATGAGTGCATGTAGGTTAAATATATCAATTTGCAGCACCTACAAGTATCCATTTGGTTTACTGGTATGAATCATTCACCTTTTAGATGACGCTAAACAAGCCAAAAAGTATAACTAAATGGTATAATTGGTCATAGCGTCCAAAGCTGCATGTTGCAAGGAGTAGTAAAAGTTTAAAAAGCTTATTAAAATGTTAGCATTCTAATAAGTAAAAACTACCTTGTCTATAATTTCATAAGCGTTCTGGCAGCTGTAATTAAATGGTGAAATTTTTCGGAATTCTTCACGGTAGATGTGCTGCTTCACATCGAAATTAGCACATTTACGACGTATATTGGCTACTTCATTATTTTGCAGCGGTGCAACTGCTTGTTTCATCAATACAGCTTGTTTCTTGACATTATTCCATTTTTCCGGTAAGGTCTGAATAATAAAATTTGAACAAATTAAATATATGAACTAACTGAGTGTAAGGAATTTCAAGATGATGACTGTTTCAGGAAACCATAAATTTGACATTTTGGTATTTTTTCACAAAGAATGATTTGATCAAAAGATGAGATGAGTTAAGAAGGAAAACCTTTGAGAAGTGCTAGTCCTTAAAGTTTTATCAGAGGATTGAATGGTAACGAAATCACTACATGACTAGACTGTTCTCGTTTCGTTTTTGAAAGAAGTTGGATATCAGAACTAAAAAATTCCTAAGGTAGAATGATATAACCATGAAATTGTCTTCAGCAATGGTTTTGTTTGCGAATTGATTTTAGTTCACAACGAAAAATGTTTCCGCATCAGCTATACCGAGAAAAGGTGAAATCTTAAGTAAGATTGTTAAGTCAAATGATTAGGATGTAAGCGTTACCGACATCTGTTACGCAAGCTATGTCACCATCTCTCCGATAAACGACGTTTGTTAAAGAGGGCTTGAACCGGTAAGAGTTAGAGGTAACCAGTTTAAAATGTGGCATCAGTCCATGAAGTCAGTGACTCTTGGTCTGAGTCATGCACGGATATGTGAACTTCCAGGTTAGCACCGGAGAAATTCACCGAAACCAGTAATTGAGGTCTATATGATGTGGTTCGGAATCGACCACAGTGATGCAGATGTGTTAGCACATTTGATTTATCGTGGTGGTCACGTAGTACATTCTTATTCGTTTAGTAATTCTTTTATCTTATGGATTTCCACGACTTTTGACATTCGTTTTCGATTTCTTTATCTATTTACGTGATGTTCTGATGTGAGTTGTGATAACTTTGACCATTTCACAGTAATGTAAGGTTCTATATTGATGTTAACTGGCTGTCTAGTATTGATCACTGCCACAGAACCTCAAGTTTTTCCTTTTTCATATTCGTGACAAGCATCTGTAAAACGAGTCAGTAAATTTGTATGAAACTATACTTTGCAGAGATGGAATTTCATTTTTAAGCAATTGGATTCTCATTTCTGGCAGTGTTTCATTTATTTAATGAACAGAAGGCTTTCAGTTTACCGGTCCTGAGATCAACGTTTTGAGTTAAAGTTTACTAACAAATGCAACAACTTTGTAACCACTACATCAGTTATAGCTTGATCTATTTGATATGTCATATACAACGTTCAGTTTTTCCACAAATTGAAAACTGCTTGTTCATGTTTAATAAAAAAGCGTATTTGTAGACCTAATGAAACTCATGTTTAATGAAATATACGAATGTACATTAATTATCAACATAGTCACAAAATTACTGCTAGCTCATGCAGGCCATTATGAGAAGTGACTTAATTGACAGAAGTCACTTTGCACTAAAGGCTGAACAGTTTGATATCAGTTACTCTTTAGTGACCGACTAGTAAGTTTCAAATCCCCTACTGTTTCCGCAAATAAATGGAATGTCGGTTTTGTAGAATAAAAGTACAGTTATTGAAACTGTTGCGTCAATTCTAGTCATCCAGTTAAAGATGGAAACACTCAAAGTATTATATCTCAAACGTTTCTAAATACATGAATTGACTCATGTTGAAATAATATTTAGTAGTGTCAAAGGATCCATAACTGTGTGATAACTCCTATAAATTCGTAGAGTCACTTACCTCTAGTAACTGATGAACTTCATCAGGCATTTCTTGATTATATGTTTTTAATAATTCAATAGTTTGCTTTAGTGGTTCAAACATTTCATCAGTTGCAACCTGACGATCTTTAACACGCCCCAAGTGTCCCATTACACTGATTAAAGAATCATAATTTCCATCCTGAAGATCTACACTCAGACCATTAGTAGAAATCTTCAAAAAGAGAATGATAGAAAATCAGCAGTGAATAGTCTGAAATAAGATCTACAGGAACGCTAAATACTTAAGAAGAAAATAACAAGATATAGATGAAAGCACTTGAGTATTACACCAGCCGTACTTGCATATTAATAATAATGAACAATAGGTCCATCTTGTGAAGAACGATTATGTTCAGGAAAACAAGATGACTGGAAAAATGAAGGCATGTTCAAATAATCCAATCTCTGTAATTTGTTTATTTTTAAAATTTTCTTCGTTAGTTTTACTTTAAACGGTGTATTCTTCTGAAATTGGAGTAAACTTAATCCTGATATTAACAAGCAGACTCCAAAAATCTCTTCTTAATGACATGTACTTGTATGAAGGCAGTTAGCATATACTAGATTGTATCAATCTTTTTATCTAAAGTTAGGGTGTATTACATTCATAGTTTTCACAACTTTTATTTCGTCTAGTTTTTAGGCTGAATGAAAATATTATGCTGATGTTAAGTGACAGCGACTTCCAAACCATATAAAATATGCTTAATTAAAGGACTTACGGGAGTGTTGTTGTTGTCAGTAGGTGAAAATCAAGTTGGTGAGTGAAGTACGGATGAGAGGAATGGTGAATTGGTTGAATGATGAGGCATAGTTTAACAATTGGTTTGCACCTATATTTTTCGAACGAGGTCAGATAACACAGGGTTTGGAAATGTGACATTATACTACAACAATTTCCATTTAGTTTATCACTAGATAGAACTTGCTGAAGGTTTTGAATGATTGGTTTGTGTTTATGAATGGTCTTTATGACCAAAAAGAGCTAATGTAGCTAACCCAGGACAGGAGTGTCTAAGGTATAATAACGAAATGATGTGTTTATTTCTGTAACGAACTGTAAGCTGAACTTATCATTTATTCGTGACTCTTAAGGCCACCCGCGAAAAGCTAAAATGACCATTCAGATTTCGATATTTTAAGAAAGTCTGCCTTTCCAGTCAAAAGGTAGATTTTCCTAAAATAAAAAAGTCTAAATGGTCATCTAGGTTGTTGCTAAGGTGGACTATAGAGTCAGCATTCCCTATTCTGTCTGCCATTTAAAAGTACTTTTAGACCAATGACCTACTAGCCGAAAACGGAAGTGACCTAAAATCTACCCTAGCAACCACTGCAACAACCGGTTAAGTTGAGTGACTTTAAAGATCATCCTAGCAACTACTGAGGTGACCAATCAGGTTTCTTTTAGTGAAAATAATGAAACTCAATTGGTTATTACAGAGCGACCTTAAAGGCGACCTAGCAAGTGACAAGACATCCAATTACATTCTTTTATTTCATGGAAAAGTACTTTCCCAAACGAAATATCGAAGCCTAACTTGTCTGTTCAGGAGTTGCTAGGATGTCCTTTAAAGTCACTCACTTTCGTGATAAAACAAAGTAACTTAACAGGCAGATTTAAAGGCCACTCTAGCAAAGATAAAAATAACCAATTAGATCTCTTCATTTTGGCTGGAAAGGCAGACTTTCAGAAAATAGTGAAGTCTAATTGGTTATTTCAGTTGTTGATAGAGTAGCCTTAAAAGTCACTCTATATAAATAGAGAGCAAACAGTTTAGGTGAGGTTAAACTATAATGACCAAGTTCAACGCATGAACTAGTGACCCAAGACGAAAAATCACTTTGCAAGTGGTAGGAACAACGGCTTATGAATGAACGATGTGAGTCTACTGCATCCATATTTTAATCCTAATAAGGCTTTTCAGCATGATTTGAGTAATGGGCTAAAATGGAGACGAAACGAATGCCAATGGATTGGGAATATGACTACTCAGAGTTACAAAGTAATTGTCAATGACTACATATTCAGTTTAGAAAAGAAATCTGTTTTTTAATCTCTCATTAGGCGCCTCTAAATCTAGATTGTTTTGACGAAAATTCCATTCATATGCCGAGACTAGTTTTTGAAAAGATCTGTTCAACCAACTGATTTTATGAAAGGGTCGGACACAGAAGTGTCAGTTTTAGCAACCCGATTACACAACAGTTGGTTTTTCTCGAAACAATAATTCATACACACCAGTGATCTGCCAATCAAGGATTAAGCGTCCTCGGTTATGTGCACCACACAATCAACCACAGCTCTGATTTCATTGACCCTGTAATAGAAACACATATAAGTTCTATCGAAGCGTTCTAGTCACGACTCAAAACACAATAAGAGCAACTCATGGGTCCTAAAGTGAAATGACCCACAGCCATTTGAATGAATTTAAGTACCGAAGTTGATTTAACTTGTCTGTGAATACTCTTACGTATACATGGGACACTTTTACTCCAGATGTTGCTGAGGGCTACCATGTATGAGCAACTTATGCATTTATTTCGTGTTTTGTATGTCCTTTAATGCGTTTTTCATAACCCAGTGTTTTGAATGTCTATTCAGGGTCATTTGTGCATTCGTTGGATTTGGTCGTTATTCTTTAACTTCACTAAATTTTAATTGTTACTAGAATAACAATGGATAACTCTAAAGTCTATCATATTAACTACAAAAATAACCAATTAGATTCCTTTATATCGTCTAGAAAGGTAGCTTTTTCATACATGATTGGCTCTTTCAGTGGTTGTTACGATGATCTTCAGAGTCAATTATTACAACAGACAAAGTAGTAAAACTTACCTGAATAAATTTATTTAAATCTTCCAAACTTGTTGTAACGTGATCAATTAAGTGCTGTTTAAACATTAAACTCCACCTTTTGATGACATTTATGAGTGCTTGTTTAAATTTACGGGCATCCACACGGAACCAGGAATCGAATTTAGTAGAACCATCCAACTTATCAACCTAATTTAGAATGTTTAAAAAAATGGTGCAGAAGAGAAACAATATGAATAAGATTAATTTTAAAAGTATTTGGAATGATTTTTGATTAATTATTAAATTGAATGGAGATGATCAAAATAGATTAGTTGGAAAACGGTTAATGTGCAACAAAACAACGTCTAGCGGTTTTCAGAATGAGATTTTCCTTTGATAACTGCAATGATGCATGAATAGTATGCATTAAATTAGTAAATAATAAAGTCTTAAATTTACTGTTTATTTTCTGTTCATTTTCAACCGGTAAAACTTGATCACATACACTATTCTGTGAATATTCTTGATGTGTGTTGAGAAATCGTTTGAGCAATACAAGATGAAAAGTAGATATATCATAGTGTCTAAATTAAAAAGTTGAGGTCGCCTTGTTAAAAGATTGGTGAGCAATTTAACATACTATTCAGAAGAATGTTTACGATTATTATCCACTTAAAATCTAACTGCAAAGAAAATTCCCTTCGCTGAATTTTTTTCTGCTAAGTGGGACCTATTTATTGTTATTTCATTGTTCGTTGAATCCTTTCTAAAGTGATGAGGAGTTTAACTTCAGTTTTATGTTGAACACAATACACCAGCTAAGGAGAGTAGATCAATTTTTGTTGTGGAAAGCCATACTGATTTCTTTCATGTACTCCTCTTTTATAATGTATCTTTCGCTTAATGATTACATGCCATTTTCGGAAAATTTTCGACTCATTGTTTAGCGTTAATAACTTTAGTTGTGGTGTTTCATATGAAAAACTGAGCAATGAAGACCTCCTAAGTCAATATAACAATGATGATGCAGACATTAGTCTCCAAGTAATTATTATCTTTTCAGTTTGTAAACTGACAATTATATCGAAAACTAACGAAAAATACATTTAAGAAAATGAGTAGCAAAATGAAATACCTCTTCATAAACTTTTTCATAATAATCAATCTGCTCCTTAAATTGCTCCAAGGTAGGTGGTTTTAATACAGGGAATTGATCTCCATTTTGGTTATCACCTAGTTCTGTAGATGGCTGTATGCCACCGGCATTGATTAAATCAAGATCTTCTTGGTTAATAGCTTGTCCATATAACAAAAATTGTTGCATAAACTCATTACGATCATCTATCCATAAGTAGGCATAAGTATCAAAGTGAGCACGATAATTTAAGGCTTTTTTCATGACAATTTCAACACGATCTAATAACAGCTTACGTTTGTTCGATAAACTTTCATTCTCATTCATTTTAGACTAGACAATTTATTATGTGAAGCGATCGAACAAAAGATAGAAAAAAATAAACAGATAAACAGTGAATAAATAAATGACTCATTTTATCTAAATTAATATACCACAAATTGAATACGCTATTATTCATGAAATGAACATATATTGATAATTTCTGGTAAATGTTTTGGAATTTTTCAGTACAAATTAGCAAAATAAATGGCTAAAGAGAATTCAAAACTACTGGACAGCTATTTTATTATATTATTAGAATTTTCACAGACGAGGCTGCAGGAGATTTTTCTTGGTCAATTTCAGGAACATCAAGCTGCGTTACGTTAGCGTACGAGCATCTGAACTATCGACGTTATTTTTCCAAACTGAAGTCTCAGCCTCTCATAAACTTAAGTTATTGTATAAATTATGATGGTTGCAGGCACAATCACAGAACACCTAGTCATATGTGGAAGTCATCATTTCTTAGTAAAACGTCATATAACTACATTTATGTTAGTTGCAGCTGAGGCTGCCCTGTAGTAATTATATTCCACACTTGGGTGAAATAGACAATCATTATTTATTTCAAGTATTCTAAAGATAAGTTTACGTCATATTGTTAGATTGCATAGTATGATTACGTCCGTACAGTGAATGACATAGATGGCGGTTAATTAGGCTTTCCTAAACTAGCATGAAGTTGTATAAACAATCCTGAAACCCTTTTAAATGTTTGAATGTCCAGGTATTCGTAGATACTGAGGGCATTTACAAAGCTGCTAATGAAGAACATAAATAATACAATGTTTATTTATTGTATTTTATGAAAGCGGTTTAGCTTTTTTCATAGCTACATGACCAGTGCGCTAGTACTGTAAATTAAATAGATGTAAGCATTCAGATACTCAATTTTTTATAACTTTTTTACCAACACAAAAATAACGCAATAGTTGGGAAGTAGGATGCTAGAGAAAATCAACTGATATCTGAATCTACCTAGCATGTTATGATCTGAGGACGGTTGAAAATTTATTGAGATTGTGGAGTTAGTGGATTTAGGTCTGTGCCTTCAGAAGTAGAATAAGATTCCTTAACCACTTTGTGAATGGGTTTTAAAGAATCGTACGCATGATCGAAATCTGGTGGGCACAAAAGATCGTTTGAAACGTTTTGAACAGCCTATTTAGTCGTGATAATACCAATCTTATGAGCTGTTCCTAATAAATTCATAATTCGTCAGTCTTTTTATAACATCAGTAAATTGTTTTCCGGCGTCGAGTGTTCTTAATTTTAGGTTGGAGAACATATTATAGTCCGGGATTTTAGTTTATGTTTTGTCAATGTAAACTTTTCAACTCATCAGAAACATAAGTGCATATTTATTTGGTATCCCATCTATAAATCCATGGTACGTTTTAGTTATTCATTCTATTTGACATGTATTCTTGCTGGATAGCACTTGAAATTTGAGGGTGATTGAAAGCAAGTGCTTTGAAGTACTGTAGTCCTTGATTACAAATAAATAAAGTTTAAAATTAGATTTCTAGAATAACGCAGAAATCCTGAGTTATTTATACTTACTTACTTTGACTGCCGATCGAGACTAGTTATGGAAATATCGGCTACTAATATAGAATTTGTTTCTCAAGATTAAGGAGTGCAAAGCCCAGATCTGATGAGGTAATTTGTTGATAAATTGTTTTTGATATTTTTCAACTGGGGGAAAATATTTATGTCGATGAAGTAAAAAGAAGAGCAACTTTATAGGACACCCTAAGAACTCCTGAGATAACCAATTAGTCTTCTAAATTTTACGAAAAGTTACCTTTATGGCAAGAATACCGAAACACGATTGATGAATACAGAAGTTGCTAAGGTGACCTTTAAAGTCACCAATGAAATCAACTCTTTTTCGATAAATTTATTTTTTTAAGGGTAAGACGTACTTGCGCATACATGATCTGACTTACAAACAACTCTGCCACGACTATTCCTTTCTGTATAGTTATATTCTTAATGAAATGCACTGAAATAAACATCCACTTGCCATAGGGCCAGTAAGGCCACATGCAGTTCAGTCACCAAACATCTATCTATACGTGACAGTATTTCTTGTTGAAAAGTAATTTAAACATAGCACGACATACTTTATCTTAATATTTTAATGCGGCCAGTAGCTTTAATATATCGAAAGTATATCATAATAATGAATGCATATTTTTACGGATGGTCAGTTACTTAGGTGATAAGAGTAAAGTGTTTTCTTCAGGAATTAAAAGGGATTCAAACATGCTTACATAACCAGTGAAATTATCAACTCTAATGGTGAGCTATAAGCATCATAATCTGCATGCAAAAGGAATAAAAAAAGGAGAAGAATTAAAAACAAATATAATAAAAAGACTTTATAAAGGTAGAAAAAGTACATCGCCACTAACCATATAACTGTCTTTCATATTCAAATCCGTTATATATGGAATAAATGTAGCCTGTTTATAGATATCTTCAATGATATGATCTACAAGTGCATACAAGCCATTATTTGATTCTGTATCCATTGATGGTTGAAATGATATATCTGGTGCCTAAATACAGCATGATGAAAGAGTAGAAACAAAAGAAGTACACCTTTACTGAAGACTACAGAATAAATAATTTACGAAGGGGCATGTTAAAGGAGATGCCTAATGCCAAATCAAAAGACGTGCTTTTTAAATGACCAAGTGGTAAAACTGAAAGCAAAATGGTGCAGAAAAGTGTATTAGTTTGCTTTACTTATTTTGTCATAACAATAACAGTAAGATGAACCAGGAGTTAAGACAGCTACTTCTTAAAACAAAGAAAGAAAACAGAACACTGTTATTTTGCATACAAAATCCTGACTGCCAGTGGTTAACTTTCTCGAATCACACTAATATTACAATCTGGAAAACATAAATTGAATGGAAAGTATCTTTACTCACATTCATTCTGCTAACTTAGCTCATGAGGTTGGAAAAGCTACTGATTTAGTAATCTGAGACCGATATTGTCAGTAAACTTCCAGGGAATGGGAACAAACCATATTGAAACTATCAGCATGAGCTCATGAAGTGAGAAGTACAAAGTAGAAGCCAGTATACTCAGGTTGTGACATCCAAAATGTTTCATTTCCCTAGAGTGTTAATATAAATTGAAAATATTGTCTACGCCAGTCACTTAGTTGATCTATATTGGTTATTTGTACTAGACGGTTTGACGGAACAGCAGTTCATATTTCAGTAAAATATTCATGACTACAGTAAATCGAGATATTACTTAGTATATCGGATATTGCTGTGTACGGAAAAATTCATTTAGGTTACGATCTTGATCATTTTAAAAGAAACTATATGGAAGCGTAGGATGTTCCCTATCTTGACTGTTTCTGAAGTGACCTTAAGGTAGTTAATGAAATTGAGAGTGAATGTGCCACAATTCTATTCATGGAGAAACGTACGCACAATTTCGACTGAATCAAACGAAATTATTTATTACATCATTGCCTCTATGTACCTGCATTTCTAACTAAGGATAAAATTATGGAAAATAAATTCACATTGGGATGTACTTCAGTACTGGGCTGTACACTCTGAAATCTAATCACAACCTTCATTTTGACTCCCCAAAATCTACCATGTAATTCTACGTTAGTTTACTGTATTCATGAAGTCACAATGCAGCAAACAAACACCCAGTAGGTTTTCTTTTCACAGCTGGTACTCATAAGAGGACCTATTCCTTGTTTTCTGTTGCTTGATGACTTAATTTCCTATTTTTGTGCTTCAAGATATATAGGTCTTTACTTAATACCCAACTTCATGAATCCGATGTCATTTTAATCCTTAAAATCTAGTAAGTCCTTTAACAGGTTTTCATACAAATAATTTAGATGCGATATGAGGACACTTGTAAGCACATTTACTACCAAATCACAATTTTGAAATAGTGGAGAATATTTGTAGCTCAGGTGGATGGTTGATTAAACAACCCAGTTCAGAGAACACAATAAAACCAAATCACAATTCAGTTAGTTTAGCGTAATGCAATCACATGGATGAATACGTTTGTAGTACATACCTTCCTTTAGGCAGCAAGAAACAGTCGAAGACCCATAGAGGTTCTTAAATATTGTTAGTAAAACTCATGTCTATTGTAACCATTTTATTTCTGTATTAAAAAGTAAAAAGAAACAGCTGTTTCCATAGTGCTGCATTCATACTCGCTCAGGGATGTTGAAGTTCCACCACGTACTCTATAAATTTTAAGTACGCTTCAGAGGGACATGAACCGTGTCTGTTTTTATGAATATATTCCTAAAAGGACGTTAAGATGTAATATTTTATCCATTAGTGTTACTTGCATTGAGATACGATACCAAAAGTTGAGGATTCCTGGGACTCTGCTGTTCAACTGTCAAACTGACATTTTCACCGGGGTTTCATAGTACAGTGTTTTGTTTGATCAAAGGAAACTCGCGTTAGGTATGTGATATATATTTCATCGTGGAACTAGTATATTTTTATATGATTTAGGAATGAAATTATTAAGCTGCTCCACAGGTCACCCTAAGAATCATTGAAATAACCAACGCAGTTTCTGTCTGTTTTGGTGGACAGGTAGATTTTTCCAAAAACAACGAGAACTAATTGGCTCTTTCAGTTGTTGCTGCAGTCGTCTTTGCAGTTGCTCAAATTGTTTGGATAGAGTGACTCTAGAGACCACACTAGCAACAGCTGAAGTAATCAACCTAGTTTTGATATTTTAGCTGGGAGGTTACATTTTAGCAAAATAAAGAACTGTAATTTGCCATCTCAGCATGTTCGGGTGACCGTTAAAATCACTCTTTGCATCAGACATAACCTAGGCGTGTCAGATACACCTAGGACTAACAGAACATGGTTTTTGTTATGAGCTGGGTTAGTCGTTCTTTGGATAGAATTTAAAGGTCACCCTAGTAACTACTGGGATAACCAATCAGGTTTCTGTATTCCGACTGCAATGGTGGTCCCTCATAAATAAAGAAAAACAATTGGTTATCTCAACTGTTGCTAGGGTAGCCTTTAAAAAACTCCCATATTTTTATTTGATCACATGACCAGTGTTAGATACTGACATCAGATGTAAAAAGAGTGACTTCAAAACCACCCTAATAACAAGTGAAATAAACAATTAGGTTTCTTCATTTCGTCTGGAAAGGCAATTTTTACAAAATGCAGAAGTTTGATTGGGTATTCCAGTTGTTGCTAGGGTGCCTTTAAAAATGCTCGTCTAAAAGGTAGGTTGATTAAAAGTCGCCATAGCAACTGCTGAAATGCCGGAGTGACCTTAGATGTCACCCCAGCAACAACTCAATCAATTTGACTACTATATTTTATAAAAATCTGCCTTTTCAGACGAAATGCAGAAGCCTAATTGATTGTTTCGATTGTTGCTAGGGTGCCCTTTAAAGTTCCCCTGTGTAAAGGAGTGAAGCTTTAAAGGCCACCCTAGCAACAGCTGCAATGATCAATCAAGTTTTAGTACTCCGACCTGTAAAGTAGTTTTTCACAAAATTTATTATTATTTGTCCCTTGGGTCCCTAGTGGAACATAGGGCTTCAGTAACACATCTCCATTCCACTCTCGCCTCTGGAGTCTTTTGAACCTGGCACCACGACTGCCCACAAGCTTTCATTCCCTCCTCACATCATCTCCTTCGTGTCACCCTCGGACGCCCAACTCGCCGTTTCCCCTTTGGATTCCACTCGAGGGCCTGGCGCGTGATGTCCCTGAATGGTCTTCTCAGTGCATGCCCAATTCGTCTCCACTTCCTTCTGCATATTTGTTGAGAGATAGCTTCCTGATTGGTTCGTTGCCCGTCAGAGTTCCACGCTGCTTATTCTTCCTGGCCATCTGACCTTCAGTATCAACCGTACACAGCTATTGATGAATGATTGTCGTTTGCTGGGAACGCTCTTCGTGACGCGCCGAGTATCTCAACCATCACAAAGAAGCACTGACTTGACGTTGGTGTTGAAAATCCGGATCTTGTTCCGCATGCTGAGTGCAGAAGGTCTCCATACTGGTTTCAGGCTAATGAAGGCCTGTCTTGCTTTTCCGATTCTGACTTTGACATTCTCTTCTGTCCCGCCACCTGTAGTTGAGACAGTGCTGCCTACATACGTGAAGGAGGCTACTTCCTTTAAGTTTCTCCTGTTGATAGTGATTGGAGCTTCTTGTTGTTCTTGTTGGTTGGGTGTCTTCATCACCTCTGTCTTCTCTACGTTCACTTGAAGACTCATCTTCCCTGCCTCGCCTCTTCTGTCAATTTGTTAGTTTTCGCCTGTAGATCTTCAAGTATGTGTGACACCAGGCACAACTCATCGGCGAAATTCAGATCTTCTAGGTTCTTTTCCGCAGTCCAGCGTATGCCCCTCTTCTCACAACTACTCACTGTTTGTTGCATGATCCAGTCGACCACAATCAGGAATATCATGGGGGATAGTAGGCAACCTTATTTCACTCCTGTCTTCACTTCAAAGCCATCACTGAGCTTCCCATTGTGAATTACTTGGCTGGCATATGGCGTCTTCATATAGTTGTTGAATGAGACTGATAAAGGTCTGTGGTATTCCGTAGTATTGAAGCAGTTGCCAGATTACTTCTCGGACGACGCTATCAAAGGCCTTTTTAAAGTCGATGAAGTTTAGGTAGAGGGTTGACTGCCATTCTATACTCTGTTGTATGATGATGCGAAGCGTTGCAATTTGGTCCACACATGATTTGTACTTGCTGAAGCCATCCGGCTAGCCTGTTCCGGTCGTAGTTTTGAATCCAGCGCATTCTTTAGTCTCTCCAGGATGATGCGGCTTAATATTTTGCTTGGAGTGGGCAGAAACGTGATTCCGTGCCAGTTCTTGCAAACACTTAGGCCGCCCTTCTTCGGGAGTTTGACAAGGTAGCTCTTCTTCCAGTTAATCTGCAGGTACCTTCCCTTCTTTCAGACCTTCTGAAATAGTGGCGTGAGCATGTCTGCTGTTGTTCCTGCATCTGTTCTCAGTGATTTTGGAGAAATTCCATCTGGTCCTGCTGTTTTCCCGCATTTCAGTAGCTTTATGGCGTTCAGGACTTCTACTTTTGTTGGAGGGTTTATGTTCACTGGTAGTTCTGTGACTGGGCTGTAGGTGGTATTTCTGGACAAAGTGCAGTTGGTGGTGGTGGCCGATTCAAGAGCTTCTTGAAGTGGTCGGCCCATTGTTTCCTTTGTTTCTTTTCTTTGGTAATTAGATTTCCTTCATCATCTTTTATTGGTTTCGTCAGTGTTGATCTTTTCCCAGATAGTAACTTGGTTATTTGATACAATGTTGTCAGGTCTCTCTCTCCTACCTGCAGCCTGTTCTGCTTCACTTGCCAGTGTTTCGTAGAGGTGTCTTTTGTCTTTCTGTGCACTCTTCTTCACTTCTTTTTCCAGTGTTTTATAGGTTGTACTCAGTTCTTCTTTTCGTTGTGCATCCTTGAACTGGTTTATCTTCTGCTTCACCATCCTCCTCTCCCTGCTCTATCAGCTTCGATGTGTCCGTCCAGATCCACTCCTTGTCTCGCGTCTTCTACTTCCTTACTAATACGGCTATGCAGGTTACTTTCCACATCTCTTTCAAAGAGTTCCAGTGTTCATCCACACAGGTTTCTTCAGGGATGCTGCTCGATATCTCTCATTTTGCCTTGATAGCTGACGTGAAGATGCTTCTTGTAGTTTCATCCTTCAGTTCAGTTTGTGTTCTGGGTGTTCAACTTGAAGTGTGGTCTATCACCAACTTCCTTGAAGGCTTTCTACTTGATTTAGCAGGTTCCTTGCACAATATAGTGGTGTGAATCTATATCTGCTCCCCTTCTTGACCTTGTATCAAGTAGGCTGGCAGCTTCTCCACTTTCTTCAAATTGAGATGAAGTCAGTCTGATTTTTAGTGTGTCCTGGTGTCTGGTGAAATCCATGTTGCTTTGTGGATATCCTTGTGCTTGAACACAGTGCGTCCAATCACCAAGTCGTTGAATGCACAGAATTCTACAAACAGCTCTCCATTCTCCTTCATTTCACCTGGCGCTTCTCTACCCTTGATGGATCAGTTCTTTTTCTGTATTGTCCGCTCCCAGTTTGGTATTCATGTCACCCCAAACATTATAATTTTGATGTCGCCAACTGGAGTCTTGTCTAGTACTGATTGCAGTTGTCTGTAGAATTCCTCCTTCTTCTCTTCATCTGCATTATCTGTTGGCGCGTAGCATTCAATGATTGTGACTTTCCTTCCTTTTGAGTTGAATCTTGCTGTCATGATCCTGATGCTGGAGGAGATTGGTTCCCACTGGCTGAGAGAGAGCCTTCGATGTTCTTGGGGAAATCATGATAGCCACTCCCTCTGTGTGCTTGTGTTTATCATCAGGGTGACAATATCGCAGTAGATTATTGATTCTCCAGTTGAAAGTTTGGGGAGTCCACTTCCATTCCATCTGCTTTCGCACATTCCTAACACTTCAGTGCTATACCTTCTCATCTCTTTGCAATCTGGGCAGCCTTGATAGGTTCAAACATGGTGCAGATACTCCATGTCCCCATTCTTAATTTCGCTTTCATCGAGAGAAGAGAAGACACATCGGCTGACTGGCTTCCCAAAGGCTTTCACCAACCAGCGTCATTTCGTCTTTCCGATTTCATCAAGGAATAAGTTTGTTTTTATTTTTTATATTCCCTCTGTGCTTTGAAGTTTCTGTAGCAATTGGATGGGTTTTACGGGGTAGGGTTGCTAGTCCTATGCCCAACCTCTCCTCTTTACCAGGACTTAGAACAGACATATAACTAGTGTACTAGTTATGAGGCCTAATTGGTTATCTTAGGAGTTGCTAGGGTGGCTTTTAAAGACACTTGAGATATCCAATTGTGTTTGAAATTTTATGATAAGCTATCTTTCTCGCTGGAATGCCGAAACTTGAGTGGTTATTTCAACAGTCACCAAAGTGGTCTCTAAGTCGTCCAAAAGAAGAGTAACTCAAAAGCCGCCCTAGCAACTAAAAAATGACAACTGCGTTGTTTTATTCTGTAAAAAAGCAAGTGATTTAAAAGGTCACCCTAATAACTACCAAGTTGGGCAATTAAATTAATCCATTTCATGCAAAAATACCCTTCCAGTCGAAAAATTGAAACTTGATTGGCTATTTCAATAGTTGATTGGATGACCCTTAAAGCTATTCGGCAAAGCCATCTGTCTTACTCAGACTTCACTGGAAGTACTGAAAACTGTGAACGGATGGAGAACTAATCTTGGCCAATGAGTTTATAAAGACATTGGGGTCCTTATGGAACAGGCTGAAAGCCAACTGTTTTCCTGTTAACCAATGTATTGGAAACTAACAGCTAACAACTTTAGCTACCTCACTTTCGGCATAGTATATCTGCAAACTGTGATTAATTAGTTTTTGATATCATATTAGATTCCCGTATGCTATGTACTTTAGAGGCGTCGCCTTTTCGAAATAAAGGTTTCAGGTTTTTCAATGACAAGCGTGATTGTGGCATACTACAAAGACTTTACAATATAGCTTCTTACTTTTAATTCCATCTGAGATTCCAAGAGGGCAGCTGTTGTTGGCAGATCTTCAGTTTCTGTAATTAAGTAGTTCAAACTACATTCTATTGTTTGAATCAGACCGCTCTCTACAATATTATCGACATATTTTATGTATCTTGCCCAAGCAGGATCGTTTTCATTGGCTTTGAACAATTCACGGTTTGTCTAGGTGTCAACCAGAAAAAAGGAAGGTAGAACTTAGAAGTGATATATTTCTAACGTGTTTTCTGGGTTATTTGCTTATATGGTTTGTAAATATGTTTAGTTCAGCCACTATCTTACAAATGTGTATCGGAACAGCTTGTAAGAAAAATGAGTTGAAAGTTTAAATATTCAAAAAATTTAATGCTTAATGACTAACACAAAGTGCAACAAAATGAAGTCTTTTGGAAATACTGTCATTAAAAGAAATATTAGTGTTAAGTGTTTTATTAAGATAAGTTATTTATGCAAGAATTGACAGACCTAGTTGAGTGGTAAAGATCTTCCGGAGAGCCTAACTATGATAACAAATTGATCAACAGATAGTAACCAAAAAATGATATGCTTTTTATGTGTCAAAATGTTACTTAATACTGCATTTTGCAGTTCAGATGTTCAGATTCAAGGGGACTGGGGTGAAGATGAATAAAAAAACATCATTTTTGTCCGTAACTTTATGCAAACGCTCTGTTGATATATGAACCTTAGGCTCACCAGTTTGTTATTCACTAAATTAGTTGTTTTGTCGATGTGTGCCTAAATTAATGTGATATCATTGTTCACAGTAAACTTCTCCACGTTTTCTAGATAGGATTGTTAGTATATTTTTGGCTCTTGAAAACATACAGGTATGGTAAAAATTCAACAGATAGTGATATGAGAACTGAATTTTCCTCAAAAGCATTTGACAGACTGCGAAAATCAGATTTATTAAAGTAAACGAAGTGACTTTTCTTACTGGTTAAACGTTTGCACAAAATTGAGTCAGAGTGACTCTGTTTGATGCTGAAATCACTTTGGAATTCGTTTCATGGTCCTTAATTTTAATGATCGACGATTTCTGCCTTGTATTTGTGACCATACATACATAATAATAGTAATGATACTAATAGCTTCATTCTAAAAGATTTTTTCAGGAATACTGTGCATAATTCCCAGCATGTCACAAAGCATCAGTTGTAATGAAGTTGGAGGTACTTAGTAGCTAACGCCATTATGGAAACGGGGCATTACGTGGATGCATATACGTTATTTAAGTGCATCTATAAAACCTGTAATAAACCCACATTAAGGTTTGTTGAGGCATTACATATTAGCAAGTTTAAATCATCTTTAAGTGTTCAAAGACAATTTTCATCATATTGAACCTTTTTTTTAGTCGATCCGGCCTTAAACTTAAAGTTATTGCACTATTAATTTTTGCGTCATTGTTATTTAGATCTTCAATATAGTCTTCTCATTTATTTAGAGGTTTGTGGGGATTTATTTATTGATTTCTCGTTGGTATTCATCGTGGTCTGATATCCGTTAGAGAAACATTGGGAACTTGAGAGCATTGGGCAACTGTTTAATCATCGTGTGGTACTCTTCAGTAGTGCGCACCCACAACCCCCTAGGGATTGGACCCAAGACCTTAAGGTTCCACGACTAGCACGTTACCATTGAGCCACTGGGTCATTTGACTTACATTCCATACCCTTGCTTCTTCATTATTTTTCTGTACAAATTCTCATGCTAAGTATGTGTGTGATCCTACTGTTCGAAACATTTTGGGCAAATGCGTTACATGATTTAGATAAATTATGTTCTTCTGTTGCTCTCTCAAAATTCATGAAGGGAACTTAAGCGTTTCAAATATTTTCTTTAAGTTGATGTTCACTTTGCGCAATTTTTTGTTTTACCAGCTTTGACCAAATCATTCTTAAGTGCTCCTTTGGTGTTTCATCCCATGACTCATTAGGTAGTTGGAGAAATGGGAATGCCACTATTTATTCTTTGTTCACCTTGCATGCAAACTCTTTACCTACAGAATATCAGATTACTTGAAGGACTATATATTTGAACCAACGTTAGAATTAAAATACTATTAATATCATTATAACTATTTAGCATTTAACTTCTTTCCTCTTACCTGTAAAATATTGAGAACTTGTTTACCTGCTTCAGTAATTTCTGTATATCTTTTAGAGCATCTATCCTCCCTATCATCTAATCCTAGCAACGTCTCCCTTTTACCATCTTTGCGTTCAAATAATGGTAATTTAGACCAAGTAGTCATAATTAATTGAATTTGTTGCATATTTTCTTGGGTTTGTACAACACGGTGTTTTAAATCTTCAATTTTACTTCGTGTTTTCTGTATATAATCCCATGCATCTGAAAAAAGCCATGTTAATATACTTTCAGTGGTATCATTCATACACATTTCAAAAATTGGGATTTGGTGCATTTAAGCAGTTAAACAGTGTTTGAATGAATTTAGTTCAATCAAACAGTTTAAAAATACACATGCCATTCTTTTATTTATTGTAGACATATCAAGCAGTTTGACGCATGAGTCAGTTGCCACTAACTGGTTTTACCCTATCCCTCAAAAAATATGTAACTTAATGAATTTGAATAAAACAAGAACAAAGATACCATTCGAAGAGACGGTAGATACTATATGTCAGTATCCAGAACTACTTCTACTTCCAAAATATGAATTCAAACAGCTTTTTAATATATGAATAAAATTTAGACACTGTGGTAGATTGTAATTACATTTTAGTCTGTTTATTAGAAATACTACATAGTAAAAGGGCATCATTTATTGGATAACGTTTTTGACATAATTTATTTCCTATATTCATACCATATCAAACAGCTTCTGCTGATGTGTACAAAGAATATCCATTTTCAATTCAATAACGTCCAATACCGTCTAATCAATGGAGTCACCATGAAAAGCCCATTAGACCTGATCCTCACTGATATCTTCATGGGGAGTCTCGAACAGGCGAAACTGAAATATATTTAACTGATCAAATGACATTCTAAGTAAGGTACATTGACGATATATTTGTTGTATGCAATAATGGTAAACATGCCCCTCACTCATTGAATAGTTTTATTGAAGTGCACTCAAATATAGCATTCACCACAGGATCTGAACATGACAGCAAATTTCACTTCTTAGACCTCAGCCTACAGCGTCATACTGATGGAAAGAATCATAGATACTTGGAGTGGGATTTATTTAAACTTCAACAGCTTTCGCCCGGTCATTTATAAAAAATGTCTGGTAAGAACACTTTTCAGGTAAACTGTGCTCTGAAGAAATTGAGGAAGAATTGACCATTGTCGAAAATGCTTACGCAAAAATGGTCACCCATAAAAGTTCACTGACAAGTACTTTCCAACAGAAGAAAAGAGAATTAAGTATAGTACAGTTGACAAGATACTCGTCTATCTATATCTTGCCTTCAACGGGGATGCAATCGCTACATTATGGGCCATAGACTGAGTGCTGCAACAAACATCACCTACCCAGCCGCCAACTTAGTCTATATGTATCAGACTAAACGTTCATTGAGACAGTCCAAAGTGGACAAGTTCCCAACACTTGTTGCCTCCAAATATATCTACCAATTCACATATACTTACCAAAGCCCATACATTGTAAGAACAGAAAGGGGGGTTCTTGTCCTCATTTCTGAACAGATCCCAAAATATTTGAGTCTTAAGCGTCCACAGGGTTCAAATAGTGAATTCGGCTGACATTTGATTCATACTGGGCCTAAAGTCGGCGTATTAGAGCCGTCCAAAGTGATCAATAAACAACTGAAACCCATACTTTTGCGCTTAACTGAAGCAGTTGCAACTACAAGACCCAAATCTGATCTATGTATTCAGAAAGATACTGTTATGAATCTTGTATTACCTTGGTAATTTTAATCTCTTAAGTTTGAATGAACAAGACTTCATGACCTTATGACCCTTAGCTTGTTTATCACTTTACGTCTCGATTTATTGCAAAACCTGCCTTCACTTTCTGAGTTGTATTCATCTTATTGCTGAATATAAGGAAAACTTATTGACCATCTATTACCCTTACTAAACCGTGACGTCCTTTTTTGTGAATTCTAGAATAACATTGTGTACAGCTCCCTCCAACGTATATATATATATATAATACATGAACCTTTTACTATCTTCCCTAGAATGTTCATTCTATCACTGTATAAATAGTTAACTTTTGAGTGGTCTTAACAACTTCAGCCAACTCAAATCTTTATTACCTCCCATCTCAATAGAAACATTCTTGTCGATTCATTAAAGTACGTTGTATAACATGTTGTTCATCATAAGCATTATATTCCATAGGTTATAAAGCAGCTGAGAAGAATCCAAGAAATATATACCTGCTAATTCTACTACTATTGTTCTTCTTTCGTTATTCAAACTCTGGAAAGGGAAGAACTGTATTAAGTAACTTAGGAAAATTCCATAGATAAGTTGAGTAACTTGATAATTCAGTTCGCTGAATAAGTAGTTCAAGTTGACTGCTAAGATGTTTTGCCTATTGCTTTATCATTGCCTACACTGAAAAACAGTATCTGTATGCAACCTTTAACAAGAAAAGGTTCCATCGGTAATGATGCCGCACGTCATCGACACTGTTCAACCCCTCACAAATTTGAACAAGTAAAGTAAAGTAGTGTGAACTGATTATGCTTTCAGTTACGAAAGCTGTTGCTACTGCTGCAGCTAGTAAATCTCAGAAGTAGCATCAAATACCACTACATTAAACAAAGCAAATTTAATAGTAAGTTGAATGGAATGTGTGTGATGAAAGATTACTGTTAGTTGAGAGAGATAACTGATAGAATGTGTGTGAAGGCCATTAATAAATCATGAAATACTGTGTAATATACGTGAAATGAAACTATAGATCTTGAGTTTGATTTGATGATATAATTCGTTTACACCTCTCGTTTGCTTTGTTTTTTGTAATATATTTCTGGCTTCTGAGTTTCTGTTTGTTTTAATGTCAAGTGTAATAGCATTCACCGACTTACTTCACTACGAGTTTCCGCGGTACATTTGTTTTCCTATCTGTTTATCTTTTAAGCTATGACATATAGTGCAAAACCTAGTCTCCAAACTTCTTCGGAAAATACGTTCAACCAACCTAAACTTCATGTATGACCAATAGTAGAATAATTGAATGTGTTTAAAGATGCTTACCACTAGTTTGCCAGTTCAATACAGTTTCTGCTTTTTCAGCCTGTTCATCAAACTCGCGTAACTGATCTGTTATTAATTCTGACTCTTCAGATATAAGTTGATTGGATAAATACCTATAAGCTTGAACAGTCATATCTAAACTAATATGAAAATTGCGCAATTTATCGTTTTGTTCATATAATTTATTTGCTGATTCAGGTATGGTTTCTTCTGCACGTATACCTAAATATTTTACTTCACGTAGAACAGCCACAAGCTGATGAAGTAAAAGGAAAAGAAAACAGTGATGGTTATTGCTAAAGTCGGATAGTATACCGAAAATAAAAAGTGAATTAGATAAGTGGTTTGCGAACTGACTACTTCTTTACATAAGTCATCTGCTTACATCTACATTCATCACTAGTCCATAGAAGACACAATATATGTTGTATCCTAATTTGGTTTATATTTTTCGATTGATATTTGCTCCTTATAAGACTTTTTTTGCGTTTTGTAAGGAGAGTCAGTTTTTTTTAGTGTCCGTTGAAAACTGATGAAATGTGAGTACACCGTTTTGTAATTGCAATAGTTTAAAAGTGGAACTTAAATGAAGATTACATCAAGCTCTTACAACCCCACCACATACATGATCTCGTTACAGGAGAAGTGATAGACATAAATTATTTAGTATCAATGTGACTGGGCGTCAGAAAATGTAGCAACAGTGCGAAGTAACGCATTTATGAAAGTGAAAAACGGAGAGCGATAACGATATGAAAGCGATAACAACAGAATTTATAAAAAGTTATAACTAAAAGCGTCACAGAGTGTACAACCGAATGGTAATAAGATTCGGATGAAGATACACGTAGTGTGCACTCACACCAGATCCCCTAAGATCATTAACTATCAAATCCAGTTGTCTTGTAGACCGCAAGCAGAAAGCTTACATTTCCCCACAAATCAAGAGTAATAGACTTTATTTGTTGTTATTTCTTAGTTTGGCCACCACTAGTCTTTCTTCTTACGTAATCTTACTCTAGTTAACATGTTGAATCAAGGTAGTGGGTCAGAAATGTATCATGACATTCTCGTATTGCAACGATTTAAATTGTTCAGAAGACATTGTACATAGTCAGTATTCTAAAGTAACAAGACTACATCATTTGAGTATCGCTAATCAACTAGCGAACTAGCAGGGGAGATATCGATCTTTGTGATACAAAAAAGATTTTGACCTCCACAAGTACATGTTTGTGATAGGGATAAGAAAAAGTAGACATTGAAGATTAACATTATTCAACATAAACACTTGAAAGTTCTCCGATAATTTGGTGCGCTTTTATATGCTGTATAATAAAATTTGTATACGTCCGCAAACTTTGATTAGTCACGCTGGTTAGAGTCATACTACTGTCTAGAATAAATCAAAGAAATTATTCACACTGCTCATTTAGCTACAATCAGAAGAACGTTTGATATTTCGAGGCAAGTAAACCTTGCAATACTATCAAGGCTAGCACTGACCTCCAGACCAACAGTAAGAAACAACTGATGTGCTCGTAGGTTGTAACAACTAATGCAAGTTGCACCTGTCCTACTAACTTCTACTGTGATGTTAGAAACTTAGCAGAATAAAAGTAGGAGATGGAGGTATGAAAGGGCTTCGAAAAAGGTGTTAAATGTCATTGAGGGTAGTGACTAGTGGTTAGAGATGTTTAGGTAGGCATCATCTAGGTGACTGATTGAAGTAAAGAAGATGCTAAACAGCATTACTGAAGTTGACTTAACTGATACTTATTTACACATTTTTTGATCGTACTTTTATCATTGCCTATCCCGTTATTTCAGGTCTGTTCACCTTATCTTTATTATGTTCATCTCCTAGTAACATTTTCCTTATATTCTTGAAAAATGTGGCAAATGGGAACGGTGTGCTGTTGTCCTAGATAGTGAATTAATTAAGTCATGCATCAAACAGTCAGTTATCACATGTTTCTATTCGCTAACCTAAGATTTATATTCGACGGGCAGTATATATCACGCCAGTCTTCTTTTCATAAGACTGCCATGAGATCAAATAGCAAGGTGATACTGATTATTCTCTAGTGACTAATCAATGTTTCTAACAGTATTTCACTAGAATTACTTAGTTACTTCCTGTACTAATCGATAAACAAAGAAATCAGAAAATCTATCTGCAAAGTCGGGATGGTAAAAAGTGGACTGAAAACATAGGATTCCGGGAGTGACAGACAGGTTTCCGTTCTATTAGTAAAATTCTGCGGCGTGATCGGTTTATGAGGTTGTCGACTTGCACTGACTTGGGTTTCAGTGATTTCTGCTTCGCATTCTGATTAGAGAAGGAATATTAGTTTGAATATATGGGATAGCCTTATTTTGACAGACAGGTATTGATGCTGGGTGATGATTGAAGGTGAAATGAAAATTTGGACCACAGCAGGATTTGAACCAGAGACCACTGGGTTTCCAGCCCGGTGCTTTTTCAACTGAGCTGCAAGACCCAACGACTGAGCAGATTTTTATTTCACGTCAGTCACCAAAGGTTTTGCCCGACTGCTATATGAATTAGTGACGCGTCATTATCTCTTGATCGTACTCACATTCGTTGGCCAGTCAGGACTCCGCATCCCAATCTCAACCTATTTGAATTAGAGAGGCGGAGCATCATGTTGATTGTCAGAGAAGGAACAGTTTGAGAGGAAGCAAACGGTAGTTAGAACAAGACATATAACGAATACGTGAAAATTCTAACTGCAGGTATGTGTTTTGTAGGAAAGTGAAGTTTGTGTGGCTTAGTGTTACCAGATGATAAAAATTAAGACATTGACTTGCATGGCAGGAAATAGATCACAGTTTCATACATCTTTTATTTTTCTCATCGTCGTAAAGTGTTGAATATTTTTACGCTTAAGCTGCGATTTCTGGCATTCTTGTCATCCTTTATTTTATTAGATCCTTTTATTTTTTTGACTTGCTCTTTTGGTGTTATGAAGAGTTCCAAATTAACTTGACAAAGTTTTGTGCAAAACTTTATTTCATGCTCGTCTGTTATGGATCTCAGTTCTATAGAATCTCATTGGAATGGTTGCGCCAAAGTCCCTATTTTAACTGTAATCAAATGAGTTTTGCGTTTGTCCCTAATTACGATCTTTATCCTAAGAGAAAGACTTTTAGCTAGGTGTACATCTGATAGACAGTGGACAATCGTTTGCAATCAAGATGAGCATTCTTTAATATACAAATAACTCACTTTTGCATCAAAATTGACGGCGAGCATTTTTGTACTGGGATCACGTACGAGTAATGGTTGAGATAAATTAAATGAACAAATTTCATCTACACTTTTAGACCACTCACTAAATATACGTTTTTCATATCTAAAACAGATTATTGAATATTCCGGAAGTTAATTTTAAAAATGAAGATAAAATAAATATTAATTATATCAGTTAATTATTAAATTATTCTGAATTTATTTTGCTGTCTAGTTATAAAGATAATATTTAGATGAAGTATTTGTAGAGACTGCTTGAATTGAATAGTTAGAAGGCGTTTCTTCAAAAAATAAGGACATTACTAACTTTGCAATCTGGTTATAGAAGAGTTGTTAATCAATCAGCCCTTAGAACTATCCCAGTCATACAGTTAGACAAATTCCTATATTTTAAAATGATTTTATTCTTTGTATTTCCTAATATGTGCAAAACAACCAAAATAATAAATACTTTTGGTCAAATACCCAAAATACTAAGACCATCAAATCCCAAATTGGTTTGGATACCTGTAAGTTTCTGTTTCATAAATTATTCAAACCATATAACTTTTCCTTTCCAGGTAATTTGAATGGTAGTTTTCCAGTCATTTATATTTGTGTAACAAAATCTGCAGTGGAAACACTAATGTGTTCACATAATAATTTATTTTATTATCTCCATTTAGCTTACATAAAACTTACTTTTAAGGGGTGCAGTAAATCAGGTTGAGATGAATAGTTCAGTTATTTCATATTGTTTATAAATTCTGAACAAAATAATTCTGTAACAACTATGGCTTCCACCATGTTGCTAGCGCTAACTGCTTAACTCGTGGATAATGTTTCCCAAGTCAATCAGTCAGTCAACATCGATATGAGATTTTTCATTACTGTGCAATGGTCCATGTTGTTACACCTCCTATTAGCACATCAAGACACAAGGCAACAAACGAAGGGTTAAACGTTTTAAGTGCGTTTTAGTACCTGGTACAGAGTGAATATCTGGTTGACATATCCACGACCACGTCCTAAT